AGAGCGACGTGGATCCGCTCTTGAAGGCACCTGTTCCTGCACCGCCCTGAGTATCCACCATGGGCGTCCAGCTAAAAGACGGTAAAGAAGCGCTTGTGGGGAGGCAACCCCACCACGGTTTGATTTTCTTTCTTGTGTTTTGATTCGGATTGTAAACCAGTTTGGTTTTGGTTTGTTTTCTTTTGTTTTGGATGATGTTGTATTGGGCTGACATTGGACCTAACATACCGTGTTTGAGCTCTTCTGTTTCCTTTAGCTGTGCTTGTCTTGACTGGTCCTCTCTCCAGTCTACTTCACTCCGACTGGTCTGTCTCCAGTCTCTTGCAGTCCGTGCATACCGGTAACATCGTTCCCCTTTTCCTTCCCTCTTCTCCATTGAGGGCAATGTCGATCTTAAGTGTGGGGGGATGTTTATCTTTTGACTGCATTAGATCTGTTTGTGTGCTTGGGGCCTAGTCCACTGTCGAAATTTTTAAAATTTGAGGGCTCCAAGTACGTGTTCCTTGCAATTGCCTGCTCAGTATGCTTTGAATTGACATTCTTTATAGTAATATGCAACCTAGGGAGGTAGTGTAGCACTATGGAGGATGTTGATGCATTTAAGAAGTCTCGTTTCTTCTTCATATTGTGTTGGTTGATTGAGTGAATTAGTGATCTTAGGACCCTTGAATTGTGTGGTGTTGTGGACTCTCTACCTGTCATGGACTCTTGTATCATGTTTTGAGTTTAACAGGTGCTCAAAAATGTGCTTCAAAATAACGTCTCCCGTGCGAATAGGGCGAAAGTGTGTAAGGGGAGACGGGAATCCGTTCCCAATTTCCACCTACTACCTCCAGCCTCCTTACATGTCTTTCCCCCGCACGAGGCTCGAGACATCCGCTCCTGGCATGGCCGGTAAGAGCAGGTTGGGACCCTGGAAAGAAAAAAAAAACAGAAAACAAGCAAAATAGAAAAAAAAGGGGTTCCAACCGTCTTCAAGAAGAAAATAGAGCACCTTGAAAAATGTGAGGCCATGATCCTTTGTTTTTGAGAATCTCTTCATCCACAATTCATTTGTCCTCTGTTCACTATTTGCCATGATTTCGACTCGATACTAGTGCTCTCGCCGAAGAAGCTATGAGATGACTTATGCGTCGGTTGACCTCGTAAGTTGCTAAATGATATAGGAAGTCCTCTACTTATGATCTGGGTTGTTTGTTGCTATAGAGGTCTGGAGAGTTGCATTGGTTTGAGTTAGGTTTGCTTGGGGACAAGCAAACGGTTAAGTGTGGGGGAGTTTGATAGACCGTTAGTTACACATGTTTTCACCCCTGTTCTTACACCGTTTGAGATGTGGTTTCTCGTGTTTTAGACCTATTTCACGCTAGGTTGTGCTTGTTTGTGATATTTCAGGTCCTGGCAAGTGAATGAAGGTTTAGGAGCGAGTTCGGGGTCGATTGGGCGAAGATCGGGCCCAAGGCAAGTCACAAAGGAGGTCGCACGGGCACACCCAGAACCCACACGGCCGTGCAAGTGACCAGTTTGGCCGTATGGGATTGTGCGAGAGCAAACACGGGCAGAGCAGAAAATCCACACGGCTGTGTGAGGATGCATTTTGGCCATGTGGAATTCTGCGAGAGCAAACACGGGCAGAATGGAAATTTCACACGGCCGTGCGACCCTGGCCGTGCAAGAAGCTTGGAATTCAACTAATTGATACGCTGCGTTTTGGCTCGCACGGGCAACTGGGTAAGCCACACGGCCGTGCAGCCTGCCCGTGTGAGTCAAGATTTTCTGGTTTTCAGCCACAAGTCGAGGGGATTCGAGTTTTAGAGAGACAGAGCGATTCCTAGAGAGAGAAAGCGACGAACAAGAGCCTCCAAGTGCCCTAGCTTGATCTTCATCACCATTGGAGGCCAGTTTGAGCTTGGAGAAGTGCTGATCAACGTCCAGGAGCAGGAATCCATCCTTCACAGTATGAATTCCGCGTCTGATTCTGCTTTTGCTTCTTTCTCCATGGAGTAGTTCTCCCATTCATCTGGGTATGGAGAACCCTAGATTTGTATGTTAGGCTTTGATGTATGAACCCAAGTACTGATTCTATGATTTGATTATATTCGATTGAGGTTTGAATGATTGAATGACTTGAATCCTGATCAAATTTCTGTTGTTTCTGTTTTAACCTAGAATGAGAATATCTGCCTAGGTTGATAGAGCATCCTTGATTGAAGGTAGGGAGTTGGTGACTTTAGTCGAGGAGCCAACCCACTATTCTGTACCAGATTCACTCCGGTAGTGGAGGTTTTGTTTGTTAAGGCCTCAATCTGTTTACTCCGGTGGAGGTTAGTCGCCCGCTAGAGACTCAGATTGAGAGGGTCTGAAGACCTTTAGTCGAGACTTCAGGCTGTTTAAGAACCTTCCGCAGTATAACTATCATAGAAACTGAACTTGGTAATTACAATTCGGCTTAACTGCAGTCTAGGGGGAACCATATCCGGGTGACCTCTCTTAACCTGAATACAACAGTTTACTTGCTTTGTTAGTTTAGACTTGCATTAAAGTTTCATTGCTAGATAACAAGAATTCACTGAGTAGTCATCAAATCTAGGACCCGGGTTGACATTTAAACCTAAACCCGCTATACTACGCTTTAGGAAGTGGTTACACTTGGCCAATTCCTGGAGTGACAGTAGAAGTGAGTCAGCAGGGACAGCAAGCGGCGCCACATCCGGTTGCGAGCAACAACATGAAGGGCGTCATAGTAGTTGATGCTCTGTAAAGCTCTCTTGCTCCAGAAATGGTGCTTGCCAAAATTAGCCTCCAGGATACGCTTAAACTGACCTTTGTGGGGCCCTAACTTTAGATTTTGGATGAACCGATTTTGGGCCCTAACTTTAGATTTTGGCAGAGTATTCTCTTTGGCCGGGAGGTCCTTTTGCAGAGTCTTCGTTGGCAGATTGGGAATGGGCAAGCTGCTCCGTTGCTTGATTCACGCTGGATTCCTTGTTTGCATCCTTTTTCCCCTAGTTTATAATCTCCGGGTGATTCCTCGGGAGGAACTCAAGGTGGGTGAGGTTATTTTTCATGGGGAGGGACGTTGGTGTGAAGCTCAACTGCAACTTTGGTTTGATTCGGCGACGGTCCATGCGATTAAAAAAATCCCTCTTCCACGCCAATTGGTGGAAGATAGGTTGATATGGCATGGTACGTCAGATGGGATATTCTCTGTTAAATTGGCTTATCATTTTGTTGTTCTTTTGGCTCAGCGTGACGGGAAATCGAAATCTTTGGCTAGTTGGATGGATAGAGCTAGCTGGATCCATTTATGGGATGCCAACATTCCTCCCAAGTTGAAAGTGTTTGGTTGGCAAATCTTTAATCGGATCCTCCCAACCACAGAAGCTCTCATTGAGAAAGAGGTGGAGGTGCTTCCTCAATGTCCGGTTTGCTGGGCTGCGTCGGAGACAATGGAGCATTTGTTTCTGGATTGCCCTGTGGCTAGGGCCTTATGGGATCATTCGGGTCTGGATCATTTGGGGCAGGCGTTGCCTCGTAACACTTTCCCACTGTTTCTGAAGAAGTTAATGCTTCGGCTAACCCAACTTGACCTCTTTTTGGCAGTTACTGCGCTCCTATGGAGAATCTGGCGATCCCAGAACTAGGTTGTTTTTGAAGGCAAACAGTTTGGTATCCCGGCACTTATGCGACAGTTTAACTAGCAATATAATGAGTGGGTTTCCTTGCCGCTGGAACGGTTTGGTCAGTTTATCCCTCCTGCTCCCCAACCCCTGGCCGTGGTACCTCCCTCGGATTTGGTTTGTCAATGGGATGGGCCAACAAGGCCTGGATCCCACTCGGCTGGTGAGATGATTATCCGGCAGCGGGCTAGGGACGTTATCCTCGTGCAAGGGATTCAACTACTTGATGTGGATGATCCCATGGTTGTGGAGTTTCTTGTGCTGAGGGAGGCTGCCCTTTGGTGTTTACGACTGGGGTTTCAGGTGATTTGCCTTGAAGGAGATGCTAAGCTTGTTATTGATAAGATCAATCAATCCATACCAAGGATAGCAGGATGGGTGCCCTACTTCAAGAGATCGTGTCCTACTTCAACCTTCATAATGGACTTAGTGTATGATTTGTTGGCCGTTGTAACAATAGGGTAGCCCATGTAAGTGGCTAGAAATGCCCTAGCATTGTACCCGACTTCATGTCGATCTATTGATTTTATGGCCTAGTTAAATTCCAGGATGTAACTTTCTATTTTATGATCAATATATGATTATCTTTTGTCAAAAAAAATTACAAGATTATCCTTATTATATTATATTATATTATATTATATTATATTATATTTTTATTTTATTTTATTTATATAATTTTAAAAATAAAATAAATTAGAAAATCATATTATTTAATATAAAAGAAATCTAATAAGATCCATTTTGAGTACATTTGATTGTTTAGAATTTTTATTCATATTTTTAATTATAAATCATTTTTGGTCATTTTACATAACCTCTTATACTACAAAAGTACTTCTAATAATTTTTCAATCAAACACTCAATTGATTTTTTTTTTGAAAAGTACGTGTCTCTAAAATCTCTAGCGAGAAGTTGCTTTGGAGGCCTAAGGGAGGGGCTAGGGTGCTAACACTTTTTTTGTTAGTATGGTGCTAACATAGCTTCAGCCAATCAGAAGATTTCGTTTGGATTACTTTTCTATTTAAATGAGTTGAGCACAATTAATGAGAGGAAAGGGAAAGGAATGACACGCTTGGTATTGTGAAAAATTAACGAACGAGAGGAAGGAAGGGGGATATGAAGCATGCCACAACCTCAAATCAGTCCACAACTTTCTCAAGCATGTCACAAGTTTATAAAGCACGCCACAAATAGTGGACTGTTTGTAAATTTGAAAAAGTTTAGGTACCAATAATATAAAAAAAAATAGGTACTAAATATTAATATTAATTCCAGATAGCAAAACTATAATTTATAAATAAAAATAACATAAATGATAAGGGTAAAGGGATGACACTATCCACTCCGAGGCCAAACTAGCCCTATATTTGCCTTCTGGTCGGCATCGTACGCGTGTATCCCTCTTGGAGTACATGAAAAATGCGCAGCAGGTTAAGCATGCTCAAAACCTCTCCAGTTCTGTCCTCCACCAAACTCGTTCTCTTCGATTCAGCCACTGTTCCCAAATCTCTTTTCACGGCCACCCATTTGAGGTCGCTACCATTGGAGCTCACATCTCGCTCCATCTCGATCTCGGTCTCTCCGTTTGTTCGGCCTTCGTCCTTGGTCTGTAAACGTAGCTTTCGTGGCGGTCGGATTGTGGCCATGTCGGCTCCTGGGTCTGTTCAGAAGACAGATGAAGAGTGGCGTGCAGTCTTGTCGCCTCAGCAGTTCAGAATTCTGAGGCAGAAAGGCACCGAGTAAGCTTCTGGGTACCCCCATCATTTTGTTTCATCTGGTTAGCTGGTGTTAGGGTTTTCTGTAATTGGGGATCCCGTGGGTTCGGTTCTTTGTTTCTGTAAATTTGAGGAGGGTTGGTGCCGGTCGAACCGAATCCTGTTGATTTTGGACCTTTCTGGAATGGGGGATTTCGATCACCTGCAATCGCATAGTTAGCGAGCAAATTCTCATGAATGAACTCCGAACTGTGATCTTACTGTGGAAACCATGACGGATGCAAGGAAAACGAAAAAGGTTCCTAAAATTGGCCAAATGGGCTCTCAGTTGTAACTTCTAATTAGCCAAATGAGCCATACTCAGTAGGCTTTAGAATCTTAAGTTCCGTATGTAAGTCTTGACCCTCCTGATACTTGATCCATGTCTGTGTTCCAAGCTTGCATAGTCGGAGAACTGGCCCGAATCAAAGTAGAAACTGTCGCTCTCACTGTTATTTCAAGACCACCATTGTTGAGTGTAGCAGTCTCATAACTAAGCGTGTCTTGTGTGATGTCCGTATAGTTGTGTTTATGCATGAGAACTTCAAATTTATTTCCAGTCAGTATTGAATATTTTGATTAAAGATTGAACTAAGAGTTCGTTTGGGTGAATGAAATGAGTGGTGGAATCACCATCCATCAAGTGAAGGAATTTAGCAGGTGGATTCAGGAAAAGTACCTATCCGGCAATGAGCTTTATGCGCGTATAGATCATACACTGAATGTTGAATTTTTAGTGAATGCATTAGATTGCCTTGATGTCAGTGAATCTATGAGATTGTGTTTAAGGGGCAAGTGTAGAATTTAGAATCAATGATCCTTCACTCTAATTGAATGATGCACAGGTATCCTGGGACAGGACAGTACGACAAGTTTTTCGAAGAGGGCGTCTACAGTTGTGCAGGATGCGGGACTCCTCTTTACAAGTCAACAACCAAATTCAATTCTGGCTGCGGCTGGCCTGCCTTCTATGAGGGCCTTCCTGGAGCCATAAACCGTAATGTGAGTGAGCTAGGTGCTTTCTTCTTCTATATGATTGTGGCAAACACTCAAGTTGATCACAATCTGTGTCTAACAAATTGCATATGGTTATATCTGTATCTCAGGCTGACCCAGACGGCATGAGAGTTGAGATCACTTGTGCAGCTTGTGGAGGCCATTTGGGTCATGTGTTTAAAGGGGAAGGGTTCAAGACACCCACGGATGAACGCCATTGTGTTAACAGCATATCGCTCAAGTTCTCTCCAGCCAACTCTTCCATGTGAATAATGGAAACCTATCCCTTGATATCTCCCTCTTTCTTCCTATATATATATACATAAAGACATGCTCACTGTGTATTTGATGGAGACTGGCCAGTGGCTTGCGTAAATCGAATGATAACGTCTTATGAATGTCCAATTGTGGCCCCAAGGCCAAAGCTGAATAAAGTCACTTATTATTTATTGAAGTGCTTTGAGTTTTCCCCACTTCTTCTGGTGGGTGTTTCAGAGGCTTGGGCATTGCCCGCCTCTTGAAGGTAGTTGAGATACAATATCATCGCGTTCTCGGTGTATATTAATTAATATATATAAAGCTTAAGCAAAGTTCCTGTTGCCTAAGAATTTTGCTAACTGACACCACCTTCATTTAATTTGGTAACCTAACCGCTAATGGAAACAAACCAATATAATTATATTATTCATAAAAGATGGGTAGAGGGAAACATGCAAGACATTTGGTACGGTCGTTCTTACCATTGCAACTAGCACTCACCTACATTAGTGAATTGATGAACTTGCTACCTACATTAGTGAATTGATGAACTTGCTAATTTTGTAAGGTGTGTTATGGTCCGGTCTTAATCAAATTCAAGTAAAACAGCGATTCAATAGTGAAATACATTTTAGAATTAAGGACCGGATCAACAGTGCATCCATATGATTTTGGCTTGGCTTAGTCTGGTCCAAAAGTCAATTCAATTATTTTTCTTCCGTATTTATAAATTTATAAGACTAAGGATCGGACTACATTATATTCAATTCGGTGTGATCTGATCCAAAATTCGGTTTGAGCCGATGCGGTCTGATACAGACCAACCTGTTGCACACTCCTGTTGATTAGGATTGGGTTAATTATTTAAGGAAACCAAGATTATTACGTGGGCATGGGAAGCCCACTGCTACCATCTATTTTATATAGTCTAATTATGATTTTTACTTTTTTTTGTCTAACTATGAATAATGATTGACGGTAAGGAGAAAATTTAACATTGATAATGTAAATAAAAAATTAAATAGCTAGAAAATTCTACCATGTCTAACATCATAGGCATCGTAGATTTTCCTAAACAAGATTTTTCTCTCTACTCCTTTTGAAGAAACGAGTCACATTTCCATGTTGATGTCGTGTGTTTTCTCCTAACACACTCCTTGATCTTACTACGAAGTTGGATCTTAGGCATATCCGAATTTTTTTATGCACACACATCACATATTCATCCATTATATTTAATGAAACTGGAGACTCACCATTGCGATAAATCTTCTTTAGTGAGTTGTTGTCCTCCTTAAAAAAAAAAATCTGAACTCGGAATATGTGCATGCAGTGGATATTTATATTTCAACTTTAATAAAAGATAGGGCAATCAAATAATTTTTTAAAATAATGTCGGTAATTGTTTAAATTGATATTATATTATTTACATATGTAATCTGATTATAAATTTATTACAAAATCTCTTTATCTAATCAAATCCGAATAAAACAATTATAATACCCGTGACGAAGTGCGGACAACACCTAGTTTAGTATTATTTACAATACAAACACAGAAGAGATCACATTTGTATTTGAAATTCAAGATTTAAAATACTTAGTATTTGAAATTTATTATTTGGATACTTGTTTATTGTTTGAATTGGTACCAGAAAGTGACCGCACCGCACCATATTGCGAATTGTATTGATGTTTGGAGATCACTTGGTTTCTCAATTCGCGAAAGTCAAAAAAACAAAAAAAGTGAACTGATTTTTTATTATTATTAGAATCTACACATAATATAATACACCGAAGGGAAAAACGGGAGCCCCATTTCAAATTTCCTGCAACGAGAGTGAAAGTAGGAAGGACATTTTGGTCTTCACAATTACTTTTTTTTATTCATTAAAAAGACACGTACTGGGATTCGAACCATGTCCATTTTAAAGAAAAGCAAGGAACATAACCAATCACACTAAGTACATTTGTTGCATCCTTTTAAATCAAAAACATATAATAGCAGGGAGGAAAAACCCCTTCCCCCATTTCAAATTCCCTGCTCCATGAGCGTTTGTAGGAAGGGTAGAATAGGTAGTGTTAATTTTTTTCTCTTTCCTCTGTGGAACGGGCCAACTTACCGTACACATGCGGATTTAAACGGGTTCAGGAGTGTCAATTTTTTTCTTTAACCCCTTGTATTTCTCTGTGGTGATAAAATATATATGAAAAGACAAAAACAATACTTCTTTTTATGCTAAAAATAAAAAAAAATTAACAATAAACTAATGCATGGTATCTAAAGGGCTAACCGCTAACCATAAAATAAAAGAGTTGAATGGGCCTGACCTACACCGGATTTGGCCATCAAGTAAAACAAATGAACATCATTGGTTTGACATTCTAAAACAAGCTATTTTCTCTAGCATAATATATATTATTATATTATTTTATATTTTAGTGGCTAAAATATAATGTAGTTTAAAGTTATTCAATGGTTCAATCTCGACCAACCCAATTAGTCCAATATTTATCATTTCAAATATATATTATATAATTATTTGATATCATAATGATAAAATTATAGTGTATTTTATAGGGAATCGTTTGGTATTTGTTAGTAAAAATTAAACAGAAAGATCTATTTGGTTATTTTAAACATTAAAACGATCCTAAACATTTTCAGTTTCTTTTGAATTTCTATGGTTTTATTCCCGAATAAGTGATGTGCAAATGGCGAATTGCAGTCATCTATTTTCTTTCACTATTTTTTATTTTCAAATAGAAAGTTTAAAAGTAACGAATAATTAGAATTTTGCATGGGTCGGTCAAACAGGCTGAATTTTAAGTTTTGGCCCGTTTTGATCAAGTCTAATTTATAATCACATGGTTCCCTGATACCCGATAAAAATCTCAATCCAAACCACTTTGGCAGGTGAGTCCGTGTTTACCACCATTCTCTAGGAATACGACAACGGTGGTTCCTTTCCCAAATCGTGTTGTTCGTTCTTGATTTCCTTAGATTTTATCATGGCCTGACAAAAACCAGAAAGCACAATGACGACAAGATGAAAGTTTTATAAATCAAATTAATGGTGTTCTCTTTCTGATCTCATGTAATTATATAATGAAGTTGAAGTTTTTCGATGCTATTCAATTTCATTGGTATGTTTTTAATGGTCTAACTTCATGGTTGTACCAACTTTTGATGTACTGTTTATGTTCCAATATATTCACTTTGGTATGATTATTAGGGATATGCTAGGCGGTACTCACCATTAGACCAATTTAGCTTAATGGTTGAATCTACGGGTTATCCCAATAATTCAATATTCGGCTCAGCTCCTCCGACCAACGGGTCGGGTTACAAGCTAGTTATAGTAATAGATAATTAAGAACCGTGATATAACCAAGATTGTCTACCCATTTAGCTCGTTGGTCCGGTTGAGTAAGTGAGTTGAACATTAATGGTTCGACGGATTTAGTCCAATTGAGCTTGGGTATATGGAAAAAGTCAATATATTGTTTATACCTTTTATAAATTATATCAAATCTCAACTAACACATGAGTAATAACATATAACATTACATCAAAATAACAGGTTGTACTTTGATCCAATATAAGTGAAAATTCACGCACATTTATATAATAATAATATTCAAGCTCAACTTAGAATTCCAAAGATAGGTCAAGCGAAGAGGAAAACAAAAAAAAAGCGCGTTTTATTCTAAATTTACACTGATAAGATTGAACTCTTCTTTTATTACTTTCATAATCCAAAATTGTCGACGATGCTTCCAGTTCCGCCACCACCTCCACATTCACCGGGAACCGTAACTCCAGTGATACACGATCAAAACAAAATCCTGATCATAGCCTCCCACTAGGCATTGAGTCGTTACCAAGGTTTTCAACCCGCGGGTCGACCCGGGTTGGCCGGACACGCCCTTATAAATGGGCTATAGCAACCATTTTCAAAAGCAGCCCGGAACTAGTCAAACCGATGAAACCCGGGCGGTTATCCCATCAGACCGGGTCATCGGGTTGCATCTTCTGTGCCCCATTTTCCCCTTGTGCAGCGTCGTTCTCGGGGAGAAGGTGAGAAGGAGAAGCAGAGCATCGAAAACCCTAAGTGAGCCTCGACCAGTCAACCTTCATTCTCTCTCGCAGTCCTACAGCTGGTGGTCCTGCAATCGCTTGATTCCCTTCATCGGCGGCGCCCTCCAACACCGTTCTAGCGGTACTCTCTCAACTATCTCATCTTTTTTCTTTTCTTTCCTTTCATTCATTCGTTCTTCATATCTTTTTTTCTTTCCTCTGGGTACATATGATCAGTCTCTGCCTAAGTCCATCACCAGTTGCCTAGTACTAATGCAGAATCTAGCTATAGCAGGTTTAGCTACTGCATGTCTATGGATCTCTTTTCTCTTTACCCTTCCTTTTGATTTGTTTTTTTTTTTTTTTGCATTTGGGAGAGTGAGGTATGAAATAGAAACAACATTAGAACCCATATGCTTTTGGCAGGTGGTTTGGTTCCAATTAATGGAAGCGCAAACTTGATTGTTATTTGGTAGGTGGTTTTGGTTGTGGAAGAAGTTGAATTGTTATTTGTTAGTTGTTACATGTTTGATGTTTTAGATGTTAGGAAGAAGTTGAATTGTTAATACCATTTGGAATTTTGGATTGATTATGTGGAAGAAGAATTTCAGATTGGTTATGTTTTAGATTGAGCAAAGCAACTTGTGTTGATATTGTGGAACAAAGAAATTTGGAGCAAAGAAGTTTGATATAGTTTTGTGATTTCCAGGTCTTGAGAATGGCATCCGGCAACGATTCATCGCAACCATCTGTTGGTAGCAATGCTGCCGGTACTGGGTATCGACAAAAATCGGAACTAACTTGGGGTAATGTCGAGCGAATCATCTCAGAAACTGAAAAAATGTGGCACAAATGTTTGTTGTGTGGTCTTGTGATTAATGGCGGAGGGATTAACAGGGTGAAGCAACATTTGGCTGGACAAAAAGGTGATGGTAGTCCTTGCCCACAGGTTACTCATGATATTCAAGTGAGGTTTAGGGGTTTGCTTGAAGCGTCGGCTAAACCAAAAGTTCTTCCAAGGAAGCTAAGAAAAGTGAAAGTGAAGATGTTGATGAGTCAGACGATCAAATCAGCACAAGCTCAACAATATCAAAACCTCAACCAAGTTTCTTTGCTCCAAGAACAACACCGAGAGCTCAGCCTGGCATTCGAAGTGCTTTTGCCAAAAAAGAGGCAAAGAAAAATGCAGACATGATAGTGGCTAAAATGGTTTTATTATGCTAAGCTCCTGTTTAATGCTGCACACTCTGAATTTTACCATATGGCATTTGATGCAGCAATTGCTATTGGTCCGGGATATAAGGTACCTTCTTATCATCAACTTAGAGTTCCTTTGTTGAGAGATGTCAAAGAAGAATGCACATTAATCATACATGATGATCGTAAGATTTGGGAAGTTACTGGATGCACTTTGATGGCTGATGGTTGGTCGGATATGAGCCAAAGATCATTGATTAATTTTCTAGTATATTGTCCAAAATGTGTTTGTTTTCTTAAATCTGTGGATGCATTTGACATGGTTAAGGATGCAAGTACTTTGCCCGACTTGTTTGATGGTGTCATTGACATGATTGGTCGAAAGAATAATGTGCATTTTGTCACAGATAATGCTCCTAATTATGTTATTGCAGGGAGAAGAATTAATAAGAAGTATAAGAGCATTTTTTTGGTCTCCATGTCTTTCACATGTTCTTAATATTTTGTTGAAAGATATTTACAAGATGAAACATGTGTCAATCTTAGTTGCACGAGCTCAAAAGATCAGGTTGTTTGTCTATAGTCATCTTCCTCTCTTAGATTTTTGAAAAAGTTAGAGGGTTGGAAGCAGATTGTGCATCCAGGAGCTACTTGATTTGCTACAAGCTTCATATATATGAAAAGTGTGTCTGATCATAGGCCACTATTGGAGCAACTTGTCATAAGCAGCTCCTTTACATCTCACAAGTTGGGAAAATCTAAAGAGGGGAAGCACATCAAGTCAATTGTTTTGGATAACAATTTCTGGCAGGATTGTTTAGGGATTGTGAAGTTGGCATTGCCAATTGTGAAGTTATTGAGGATTGTTGATTCTGATCAACAACCATCTTTAGGGTATGTGCATGATGGAATGATGTGGATAAATAAGACCATCAAGAACACTTTTCCGGGCAATGGAAGAGGGGCTGATGTATATATGAAGTTAATTAATGCTAGATGAGATAAGCATCTTCAATATAGCATCTATGGTGCTGCATATTTTCTGAACCCTATTTTTCAATATACTGAGGAAGCTCGAGATAAGCGTGATGTGCAAACTTGTCTTGTTGATCTTCTTGAAAGTGAAGGCCAATGTGATAATGTCTCAGAAGCAACGCAAGAGGTTAGACTTTTTAGAGATAGGCTTGGAAGCTTTGGGAAGAAATCAACTATCTCGTGTACTTCCACTTTACCTCCAGGTAGCCAATTCTAATTACTTGTTAGTTGTTACATATTTAGTTGTAAACTTGTAATGTTTTCAAAGTTTATATACTTATTTAGAAAAATTTGCTTGAATGAAAAGCTGAATGGTGGACATTTTTTGGAGAGGATGCTTCACATTTGAGGAAGCTAATTGTTCGACTTTTGTCTCAAACATCATCTTCTTCTGGATGTGAGCGGAACTAGAGTGTGTTTGACCAAATTCATAGTAAGCGGAGGACTCGATTGGAGCATCAAATATTGAATGATCTTGTTTATGTAACTTACAATTTGAGGTTGAAGAATAGATAATGATTAAATTGTATGCATCATTGTAAAGTCATTAACATATACTTAATTGTATAATCTTCTTTGACTTGTAGGTTCTTGAAGAAGGAGTGGGCGAAAGACCCAATTGATTATGAGCAATTAGATAACATCGATTTTTGGATTGTATAAGAATGTCTACCTGCATATATAAACTATGAGGAGCTTGAAAAGACTCTTTATGAGGAGGAGTAGGAATCAATAATCATCATCATCTTCTAACAAGCGTCCTATTGTTGAAGGTATGCTCATTATAGCAACTATAGAAAAGTCTATATATTCTTATAATAACTATCTTCTCATTGGTAATAATTATGAATATTTGATTTCATGTTTTAATGCAGAGGACTTCGACTATGATGTGATCGATGAAATTGAGTTCAACATTTCTCATATTATTGATGCAATGGAGATGGATAGCTTTATCTTTGAAGATTGAGTACTTTTCTTTTGTTATTTGGAATTCTAAGTTGATGTTATGTGATGGATTTAAGTGTGGTGGTCTTAAGTATTCTTGAATTTTTAACTATGATGGATTTGAGTGAATGTTATGTGATGGATTTAAGTGTTGTTGAATTTAGGTTGATGTTATTTAAGTGGGTTGGAGTTTAGGTACTGTTGTATTTTTCTATGTTGAATTCGGGATAAGTACAATATAATGACTCTTTCGATATTTCCGGGCTAAAACGGGTGACCCATTAACCCTTGACCCACTAGCTCGTCTTGGTCTGGGTTTGGGTCGACCCGTGGGTTGACAACCTTGTTCGTTACAAAGCAATCCCCTGAATTTCCACTAGTTGTTGGTAAAAATGAACCTCCCCAAATTCGTCGAGGCCTAAATCTTGGTTAGCAGCCAACAGCCATAGTAAAGCACGACAATCGAGCACACGACACCAATTCAAACAAATTGCATTCCACGGTGTTGCAAAGCGCCATTCTTTCGGAAGATGTACAGTTGGAAGCTAGGATGTTGAGGGTTGAACTGTAATAAGGACTCCCATGAATACAATTTCGAGTATTAGAGGACTTTCAGAGTTTTTTGCATTTTTTTGGTGATGGTCGACATATGGTCATTGACATAGTAGATGGATACTTTTGAATTGAATCTTCAAATCCCTCTGATATCTCAAATTGGATAGAGGATGCATGACTTCCACAACCAAACAAGAGGGAGGTTGTGATCTCTTTTGGTGATGGTAGTGGTTGCAAGGATTGACGCTGATTCCGAAAGTAGAGTTTTTTTGCATTTTTTTTTTGGTGATGGTCGACATATGGTCATTGGCATAGTAGATGGATACTTTTGAATTGAATCTTCAAATCCCTTCGATCTCTCAAATTGGATAGAGGATGCACGACTTCCACAACCAAACATGAGGGAGGTTGTGAGCTCTTTTGGTGATGGTAGTGGTTGCAAGGATTGACGCTGATTCCGAAAGTAGTAAGTAACCGTGGGGAGGGACGGAGGAAGGTGAAATTTACTTTTTTTTACTTTTAATGAAACTATTGTTATCCTAACAACATTTGTCACTATAGAATTCCAAATGACTCATACAAACAATTTCTTAGTACAATTATAATGTGGCGAGATTTAAAATAGAATTCCAAATGACTCGTGAAGATGACTCATACAAACAATTTCTTAATACAATTATAATGTGGCAAGATTGAATTAAGATATCTCTTGCATCAATGCTATATAGAATGACTTATTCTTAAAATGAAATATTTATTCATGAAAAGTCCTATTCTTGCCTTGTTAATTTTTCTTTTGTATTATTAAAATATGAAAAGATTATCCGTACGGCTCCTCGAATTATGTACGTCCAAGAATAATGAGAAATTGAGAATGAGAAGGAACGGAGTGTGCTGCGTGGCTTAATTTTTTCCCAATCAAAACTTATTTTGTCAGATAACGAAATCCGCCACATAGACTTCTCCTCTCCAATTTTCCTCCAACAGAAAAAAAATACAAATAAACTAAAATAAGAGACGAGTGGCAACGGTGGAAGTACGGTACAAACGACAAATTAAAAACGAAAACCACAGAACTAACTAAGGGAAAAATTGGGTTGCCGTCCGCCAGAGGCAGAGAGCGGTTTCCATTCCTCGTCCACGGAGGACCAAAACTTCTCAGCTTGCCTTGGTGAATCTGTTGGATAGAGTTTGTGGTTGATCCTTTCTGGGTTTCTCTCAGATGAAGGCATTTTTATCCTGCATCTCTCTGATTCTTCTTCTTTGTTCCCGTTAGGACTATGTTGGACTCCATGAGTTGTTCCCGCTTCCCCAAGGTACTTGAATTTGCTTCCTCACCAACACTCCCCAACTGAGAGTCGAAGCTCTCAGCTTCTTTTATCTACCTTCGCATTTTCATGTCGACGCTTCAATTTGGCAACTGAGGACGTTGAACCCAGTGTTAAGTAGCTTGACAAGCCTGTTCAAACTCTTGACAATTTTCGTAGTGTATGATAACTTTGAAATTTCGTTCAGGCATTATGATTTCGTTTCCGTGACCTCCCAAAGGTAAAACAGTGCTGAAATGTGGAAATTTTCATATCAAGTTCTTACCCATTTGATTCTACTTCGTCCTAATGTTTGTGCCTATCCTACCTGTTTACTAACTTTTGTGACTGGCTTGTTCGTTCTGCGTCTGTGCTATACTTAGGACTAGTTGTTTGCTTCTTGTGCTTGGCACTATTTGAACTATGCATGTTCCATAGAAAAGAGAAAAAGAAAAGGTGAACTGGGAAAGTCCCAAGCTTGTAACAGTCTGTTCCATTCGTTTGATTCTTTGCAGGGACATGAACTCCCCCAGCACACTAGCTCATTTGGGGGTTGCTGTTATGGGGTATCAAGTTTTCATGGATATTTCTGTGGTACTCGTTCTTCGCGTAAGCAGGCAAGACATGTGAAGTTTAATGCAGTCAGATGCAGGATAAGTGATTACTCTTTCACTTCTTCAACCAGAGCCCTTGAAAGCAAAGCCTTGTTTACTTCATCAGTACCGATAAGAGGAGGATTGTACCTATTTAAACACAAATTGAACCATACTCGGATATCTTCAAACATCGAGGTTGCTGGTGCCGTAGAAGTCATCAATGATCTGGGGTTGGATACATTGACTTTCTTGGCTGTGACTGTTATTGTTGTCCCTGCGTTCAGGTTCATTAAAGCTAGCCCAGTAAGTTTGAAACATCTAATCATCAGCTGATTTTCTTCTTGTACTATTTATCATGAGATTCATGATATTTTAATATGAACCATTCATATGCATGAGTGCACATCTATGATAGTTTGCACATGTATTTTACAGGTTTTCCGATCTTATAATTTTTGGATGTGCATACGTATATGTCAGTTCATGCACATTTGTGTATAATCTATGTGTACCCCACATGCGCATCTGATTATTAGGCATGTGTATTTTTCAAGCCGTTCATCTATCTGAATAAGCTATAACTAATATATTGTTTGCTGCTCCCCCAGATACTTGGCTTCTTCTTTGCTGGCGTCGTACTGAATCAGTTTGGCTTCATCCGGAATCTGACTGATGTTAAGGTTCTGTCAGAATGGGGAATTCTGTTCCTGGTAAGGAAAATCAGTGTCAATATACATCCTTCTAAAGCCACTTTCTATGTTGTTGTCTCCAGTATTATCTATTATGCACACTCAGTTATCATACTTACGCAAGCTGTTACTTTTCTCTAAAATGCAATCACATCTTGGAATAGACCTCACTTCTTTTGTAGCTACCCTTTGGATCTTCTAGCTGTTGAACTCTGAATGTCACATGGAGTATTGATTATATGTAACTGCAGTATCAAAGTCAACTGATGTGATTCGTTTTTTCATCAGCTGTTTGAAATGGGCTTGGAGCTCTCACTTGCCCGACTAAAAGCCCTTGCAAAATTTGCCTTTGGCATGGGATTGACTCAGGTACATCACCTCGTCATGTGCTTTCTGAGAACCCTTTTTGAGAAGCACCTTACAAGCCATTTATTGCCAGTAGCTTGCACTGTCCTAACATATAACTGTTGATGAGGCCTGGCAAAATGAGAACATATGATCAATTCTGCGGAAACACTTATAGTGACAATCTTTTCACTTGTCCTCGTATTGTTTTGAAGGTTGTGTTATCCACTCTTGCTTTTACAGCATTTGAGCTTCCACCTAATGGGGCTATTGGAACGAGAATTTTGGAGTTCCTATTTCACTCAAGGTCTGACTTGGTGAGTACATTGACCTTCCCTGATGCTCCTGGCCCTTTCCCTATTTTCATTGTCTTTATGCGTGTGTTGTTTTTTCTGGGATCAGATTCTGCATCTCTTTCTGATTACTGGGTTCCTTTTCCTTGTAAATTTCGTGGATAAATTATTGAAAAATAAGGCTATCCAAGCAAATAATTTGTCAAATAAGCATATCCACGATCCAAAGTTAACATTGATGTTTTGCTGAGATGTTTCTGTTGAAAGTCTCGTGGCTAAATATCAGGGGACTACAATTTCACATGTGGGCTTCATTGAATCTCAGGTGAATATTAGAAGCATTGATGAGGCCATTGTTATCGGTGCAGCTCTCTCTCTGTCGTCTTCTGCTTTTGTTCTTCAGGTACTTTCTGCTAAATAGACATACCCCTAAACCTTGCTTATTTCAACGGTTAATAATTTGAGATCATTTCAAAATCCAGGCAATATTTTTGCTATATTGATAAGTCGAGAGTTTTCAGTAGTTTGCATGCGCTTGTTTCTTTTTCTTATACATCTTGAGGATTTCTTTTGTTGCCATCTTGCTTTGTTCCAACCATAACATAAAAGACATGTGGATGGATGTAGAAGAGAATCAGCCTATCAATTTGTAGATGACGGAGAAATGGAAATAGTTGCATCTACATGTAACATAGACAAAATTTTAAGCAGGAATGCCATCTACTTATTGCGTGTCATATGTACTTCTCTAGAAAGGTTTTAGTTCAAGTCACGAGGCATCTTGAGGCTTATTAAGCACACTCTGTAGCTTCTTGCAGAGAAGGGTGAGCTTCCTACAAGATTCGGTTCAGCAACTTTGGGGATACTTCTGTTTCAGGTTTGCTTTTACTCTTGTATTTTCTAATAAAAGTACTTGTTATGGCTAGTTTGGATAATTGTCACTCCATTCATGTGACTACTTTTCTTTTAAAATCTATATAACTCACAGGTAGAAACCTCGTAAATTTAAGTCAATAAACTACTCCATGACCTAATTCGTTTATATTTGCAGGATATAGCTGTTGTTCCCCTCTTAGTCGTACTTCCTATCCTAGAGAGCCAGGTATGTCAAATGTTTAATCTTTCTCTGTTTAAGACAACTAATATGATTATCTTAAAAAAAAAAACTGAGAAAACAACTTATTATGATTGGGTACAAACCCAGGGTCATCGGAATCTCAAATTTTCTTTACTGCCTTCACTGATTCATGGTCTACTTTGACTTTCTTTCTCAACTATGCTCTTTGATTGTTTGTATGAGCGTTAACACTGTGGACAAGCTTAAAAAATAATGCAAATGAGTTTGTGTCACTGAAGATGATTGCGATCTGTGAACTGCATCATTATGTTTGGGTACCAAGTTCATTTAATTCAGTTTGGATACTGATCCATCTTCAACAGACTCTAGTCGGGGAAAGTGTCTTGCCCATGCTTATTAATGAAAGTTTGAAGGCTTTACTTGGACTGGGAGTGCTGTCTCTTGGGGGAAAATACCTTCTAAGGCGAGTTTTTGAGGTGAGACTCCCTCTATACCCTGTTTAAAGTTGCGGTTGAAAGCTGAGGCACGAGGTTGTTCCTCACCATAGAGGCTGATTCAAGTTATTCAGGTTGTTGCAGAAGCAAGGAGCTCAGAGGCTTTTGTTGCTCTCTGCCTGCTGACAGTTGCTGGGACTTCTCTCATCACCCAGAAGTTAGGCTTCAGTGACACGGTCTTAAACCCTCATGCAATTTTAGATTAATTTATTGTCGTTTCTGTGCCCAAATAAATGCTTACTTCGGGTCATTCTACAGCTTGGAGCATTTTTAGCCGGGGCTATTTTGGCAGAAACAAATTTCCGTACACAGATTGAAGCTGATATAAGGCCATTTAGGGGGTTACTTCTTGGATTATTTTTTGTGACTACAGGAACTTCTATTGACATGGAGGTAGATCACAAAACTTGAATGCTTCTAGATTGTACTGGCAATTACTAATATGCAGTGGGGTGTAAATAATTAGGTTTGATAGATACATCATACATCTATCTATTATTGGGGAATTTGAGGTCATTCTACTATTTTTTTCCCTTCTCTGAATTGGTGTTCTTACTTGTGACGCAGCTGCTGCTTCGAGAATGGCCGAATGTACTATCACTCTTGGGGGGCTTAATTGTCATCAAAACACTGATTATAACAGCTATAGGTCCGCGTGTTGGACTCACTTTGCAAGAAAGTGTAAGAATTGGTTTGCTATTATCACAGGGTGGAGAGTTTGCTTTTGTTGTCTTCTCTCTGGCTAACAGGTATTCATATGATGCATAGATGTGCAGTGACATACTTCTTGTACAGCTCTGCTGCTTCATGCATCCAACCTTGTTATACGTATGTATTTTGTCGCAGGTTGGGAGTGCTACCACTGGAGCTTAACAAGCTTCTTATAATTGTTGTTGTATTGTCAATGGCATTAACCCCGTGGCTTAATGACCTTGGAAGAAGAGCTGCTGATTTTATTGAAGACAAGTCTGATACAGAAGATGTATGTCCCTGTTCCTGTGTTCCAGACTAGTTTGAAACCATTGTGGCTAACCAATGTGGTTTGTCTTTGTTTTTATAAGATAGACGCTGTGAGTGCATGCGAGATTTAACTCCTATTAGCTAAAAGTTTTGATTCCATATACGTCATTCATTTGGTCTTGAAAATTAAAAGAAACTTTATGAAAGGAATGAATATAACCCATTTGATAGTACGTTGGAATTCATGGACTCTTCCTCACTTTTATTGACTACGTTCTATATGATATTTATAAATGCCGAGAACTGCTCCCTTAGAAGAGAACTATTTACTTTCAGAAAGGGGCTATGCCAGTGAACTTTGAAGGCAGCGAACCGGTTGTCATCCTTGGATTTGGACAGATGGGCCAGGTACATCACAATATTCTCAAACGTGAATGTGCAAACCCACGGGATTCTAGCTATAATATGTTCTAATTTTGCAAGTTCTCTGCAGGTGTTGGCAAACTTATTGGGCACTCCATTAGCTTCAGCAGTAGAGGGAGACGCTATGGCGGGAATGCCTTATGTAGCTTTCGAGCTGAACCCATCTGTGGTGAAGGTAAGGAGAATTGGATATATGTAAGTCTACTTGCCATTATGCATGCAACTTGTCCTGAAAATTTCTTGTTCATGATCCTTATTCCCTTCCTGCATTTTAAAGGTGTCAGGAACATCAGTTTCAGTCCTTCTGAGTTAGATCCTAGTGGTTGAACATTCTCAATTGGACGTACTCATTGCTTGTTGTTCTGCGTGCATTCAACGAAACTACACTTTGCATGCTTCCCAATTCATATTTTGGTAGTTCGTCGTAGTTTATGCCATTTGGTTCCAACTTCCGTACACAGGCGTCTAGAAAAATTGGTTTCCCTATTCTCTATGGGGATGGATCGAGCCCTGAAGTGCTGCGAGCGGCAGGAATCTCTTCACCTAAGGCTGTAATGATTACCTACACAGGCAAGAAGAAGACAATTGAGGCTATTCAGAAGCTCCGACTTGCCTTTCCTGGGGTGAGGCTTCAGGCAGAGCTTACTCTCTCTTTACATTTGATGACGAAAACTGTGTGATATCTTCTTTTGTATTTATATTTCTAATCCGCCCCCTTGTCGGATTGTTCTTTTTGGTCAATATTGCATGTCACAGATCCCGATATACGCTAGAGCCCAAAATATCACGCATCTTTTAGATCTTAAAAAAGCTGGTGCTACGGATGCAATTCTAGAAAATGCAGAGGTAGGAGCAAATTATTCGAGCTTTCCGAATACTTGTTTCATGCTAATCTTTGTTGCCCTTCTGTATTAATCTTTGATAACTCAGCTTGGTTTTTCTAACGTTCGAGCATGTGTTGTTGCAGACAAGTTTACAACTTGGGTCTAAGCTCTTGAAAGGACTTGGAGTCATGTCTGATGACGTCAACTTTTTGAGCCAACTGGTCCGGGACTCCATGGAGATGCAAGCTCAAGAAGCGGCACTAAGAAAGACTGATGAATCAGACACGGATATCATGAAGCCGCTTCAGGTATGCACGCATGTCAGAGAACAGAGTTTTGATTAGTCATAATAAACTCAAAGTGACCGACTGAATTGTGGCGACCAATGAAGGTGAGAGTTTCGGATTCCATTGCCGTCCAAGAGCCTGTGTCATCGTTATCAGGGGAGGAGAAACTCATGTTGAGAACAGACGAGAAGGATGAAAGCCATGTCTTGAGGCTTGAAGGGAAAGCGGAGGAAATGGCACGCAGTGGTAGTGACCGCCAACAAGAGGATGTATAAAGCAATGTGACTGTTCCTTGTTGGATGAAGAACATATGGGGGAGCGAAGGTCTGGTCTGCTCGAGGCTACTAAAACTGCAGCCCCTGTTATAGAAAGAGCTTCATTTGTATTATATGAAGGTCTGGTCTGATTGAGGCTACTTAAACAGCAGCCCCTGTTGTAGATTGCTAATGATTCAATGATCCGTATGGGACGTGGTCAGCTTCATTTGTATTATAGCTACTGAAAATATGGCGATGCCTTGAAAATTGTATAAAGCTGCCGTAACTTCAGCAGATTGTCGCTTCCCTCAATGTTTGACACCAGAATGTAATGCCATGGAGCTGCTGGGGAGTAGAATCTCAAGTTATTCCTTGATCGAGATATGTAGAATACTGGAATAAAATAGGTCTATTGAATATTCATTGTGAAACCAGTGACTCGTTAATATTATTTATGTCGATACTTAACTTCAGTAAGTCCGGTTCATTGTCAAATTCAATTTTTGATAATTTTACTCCATACGTCACATAAGCTAAGCTAAAAATTGAGGTATAACAATCTCAACAATTTTAGTGAAAAGGTAAGATATAACAGTCACTTATTTTAAGGGTTAATTGCAAGTTTGGTCACTGAGTTTACTAAAAAGTGTCATGTTTAGTTACTCAAAATATTTAACTCCAATGTTAGTCACTCGAATTAGTAAAACGGTCCATATTTAGTCACTCTCCGTTAGTGTCCGTTAACACCGTCAATCAATTGCTGACGTGGCTAACAGAAGTGTTGACTCAGCCAATTTTAACCCGCCACATCACTAGACCCGACCAGCCACATCACTCAACCCACCAACTCAATTTTCCCAACTCAACCCATAAACCAACCCTTCCAAACCCGTGACCAGATCTGACCGACTCTAGTTTCCTCCGCCTGGTGCCTGGACGATTCAGATCCAAACTCGTGATTTGATAGCATAGCTACCTCATATCACTATCTCACCCTGTACAGCTCCTTATGCTCCTTCGTTGAAATGAGAAAGGTAATATTGAATAAGGTTTCCTATACTCAAATCACCAATAGCTTTCGATTAAGCTTTCTTAGACTCTCGACATTTCTGGTCACTAGAATTTCTTCCAAGCACCAGGCGGAGGAAATTAAAGGATTTCCATTGCGGATCTCCATCGTCTTGGCGTCAATCACGCTAAGGCTCTCATGGAGAAGGGGCTCGATGTTGATCTGCTTGAGCCAGCTGTTGATCTCTGACCCGCCGCCGTGGACGAGGATTGGGTGGAGGCCAACGCATGAGACGACGACGGAGGCCTTCAACTTCAGGTCTATCATGGCGGCGCCGCCGCACTTCACGATGGTTGTTTTGCTCCTAAATCACTAGATGTATGGGAAGGATTCCAACAGGATCTCGACCTTGAAATGCTCTGGGAACTTGGGATGCGATGTGTCGTTGGAGGGGCAGGGAACTGCAACCGCGAAAGCTCTGATGGCAAGAGAAGACATGCGCTTGGCCGAAAATGTGGCATGCAGTGCAGATTTGGGGATCTGAAGGTTGAAGGAATTAGGGATTTGGAGCCGGAAGAAGGAAGAGGCTTGAAGAAGGTTTTGGTAGTCGCCATCATTGGGGGTTTGGTTTGAGAGTTGCTGCAAGGAGACGAAAGTAAGAGGGTTGCAAGTGAACTAAGAAATTCTAATGTTTACCGGGTTGGATCTGAATCGTCCGGTCGGATCTGGTCACAGGTTTGGATGGGTTGGTTTATAAGTTGGGTTGGGAAATTGATGTGGCGGGTTGAGTGACGTGATGGGTCGGGTTTGATGATGTGGCGGGTTAAAATGGGTTGAGTCTGCACTTTTGTTAGCCACATTAGCAATTGACTGACGACGTTAACGGAGACTAACGGAGAGTGACTAAACATTGATCGTTTTACTAATTCGAGTGACTAAACATGACACTTTTTAGTAAACTAAGTGATCAAACTTGCAATTAACCCCTTATTTTAAGTGATAGTTTATGTCACATCACAAAAACAATTCATATATTGTGTATGAAAAAAATGATGTCATTAAAAAATAATGTATTCTAATTTAGTAATTTCTAAACAATACAATTATAGTAACAATCACATTAAAACATTCACAACTTCTAAAAAGACTCTTAACTACATAACACATTCATTACTTAGTCAATTGACTATGCGATTATTGCCTAGCTCAGGGGTATTAATGAGTAATAAGTAAGAACATAATAATAACCAAGGTTGTCAACCCGCGGGCTGACCTGGACTTGGTCGAGCTAGTGGGTCAAAGGTTAATGGTTCACCCATTTTAGCCCGGAAATAGGCTTAATTGAAAGTTTGGTCACTCGAATTGCTACAAAATTTCACATTTGCCACTCAAATTAATTTATTCAATTTATAGTCACTTAAATTAGGTTAACAGTCCAAGTTTGGTCACTCGCCGTTAGTCTCTATTAACTTTTACTGATGTGGCGTTTAACTCTTATAGTTGACAGTTAAATGCATGACGTGGCAATTAAAAAATTAAATTTTGGGGCAATTTTTCACTTTTGTTTAAACGAACCACTTTACCAAAAACAACAAAAATAGGTTTTTGTTTTATTATTTGGATCAAAATCAATCACCTCCCTTTTCTCTATACACGAGTTCCTTCCTTCCCTTTTCTTATTCGAACTCAGTTCATTGATCTGGGTTTTGTGTGATTATTGTCGGTGTATTCTTTTAGGGTCGTAGACGCAAAGTGGACAGGGTGGCCTGAATTCCTTTGTTGACGAACTTGATCGGCGAGGATTTGGGAACCCACTCGCCGGAACGTGTCGAAGTAGGTCTGGCCGTCCTCGACGGAAGCGATTCCGCCTTGTCGTAGCCGTCGGAGATGGGGCGGAGATGGATGTCGCTCCCGGCGGTGCCGGTGAGGGTGGCGGTGTTGGCGATGAATCGGGTCGGGGCGATGGTGACCCGGATTCGTTTGGGGATTAAGCGCTTCGAGAATTGGAGGATTGGGCTGATGTGGCCTTGCCCTGGAATGACAACCAAACAGTGGGCTTTGTCGGCTGCTGCTGATTCTGAGAATTCACTCTTCTGTTGCTCCGCCATTGTTGGGTAGCTCAAGCTAAAGAGTTAATTTCGTGATGGATCGTCCTCATCGGCGTCGGCGGAGATTTCCGTTGCCTCCACCTTCTTTTGTTACTTCTTTTGTTACTGCGGCGATGATGCAGCAGAAGATAGAGTTCCACCCGACGAGGAAGCAGTAAAGCAGAATGGGTCGTCTCGGGATTTGCCGATCGAGACGCTAAACCCTGATTCGTCGAAGAGGCCAACTAGGTTGGAGGAGCTGAAGGCGAGTCGGCGACAATGACCGGAAGAGGGGGTGGTGGCTAGACGGGGCGGATGTCAGGGACTCTGTTCGGGCACAACAAGGTTGCAGCCGAGGTTAGATTAGAAAAGGTTATTATTATTTTTATTTTTTTAATAGTTATAGTTGAGGTGGAAATTTTAATTTTTAATTTTTTAATTGTCACGTCATGCATTTAACGGTCAATTATAAGAGTTGACCGTCACATAAGCAAAAGTTAATGGAGACTAACGGGCAGTGACCAAACTTGGACTGTTAACCTAATTTAAGTGACTACAAATGGAATAAATTAATTTGAGTGGCAAACGTTAAATTTTGTATCAATTTGAGTGACCAAACTTGCAATTAAGCCCCGAACATATGGAAAGAGTTATTATTGTACTTATTCTAATAAATTATATCAAATCTTATTTAACATATGAGTTATAACATATAATATTACACCAAAATAACATGTCATACTTAGATCCAACAAATATTCACACACACTTATATAACATAAATATTCAAATGTTCAACTTAGGATTCCGAAGATTGAGTTAGGCGAAAATAAAAATCGAAAAATAGGTGCATTTTGCAAACCAAAGAAAAAAATTACACAATTTGACCTCCAACCCGGTACCTTGAAGCGGTCGACCCGACGGGTGCGTGCGACTCTTTTTTCTCACCGGGTTAGGGTCAAAGTGGGTTGACCCGCGGGTTGACAACCATGATAATAACACAAAGAAGCAGTTTTGCTCAAGGTTCCAGAAAGCAAGGATTAAAATACCGTATTGTACCGGCGGTTCGACCTGAAAACCTTTTACCGGAAGCAAAATCGATAGGCGGTATTTAGCGGTAAGCACTAGGTGTAAGGCGGGAGTTGAGATCTTACTTAGCACCTAACTTGTTTAGGCATTGGAGAAAAAAATAAAAAAATAGCTTTTGTACTAAATAATGAATGAAATATTTGTTTTGCAACACTATATTTCATTTCAAATGATTAATAACTTACTTAACTCTTAACAACAAGAAAACTAGCTCACAAGTTTATAGAATCGTTGCTTAATTGCTCACAAAGTTCTTGAGTTATTGAAAAGATTGGGTTGGTTGATGATGTTAATTTCTTCATTTCGATATGGACTTCCTAGCTCCGCGCAATTTCACCAAAGAGATACCTCGGTGTTGTCGTACTCCATTAACGTGTTCTGCATTCCTCTAATTACGGAACCCCAAGACAAGGCGTTTTGGCGTTGCTAATGCGCGCCTAAGCACGCCTTTTTGAACCATGGTTTGGTATTAATGAAATTCATTAAACGACGTCATGATCTATGAATTCATTTCAGGATCGTATAGATCTCAAATTCAAACAAGAGAAACTATGGGGCCATTTCCTCTCTTAGCTTGCTTCTCCCAATTTTCCTATTTCAGTTATGTTTCTTCTATGAATGTCTTCATCATGGTGTTTTCATTTACAAACACATTCATAGGAGCTCTTCTGTTGGATCATAATCCTCTAAATTCCCATCATCATGACCAAGCTTACTCCAACCGAGAAATCACTACCACCTATCAAATATCTTTTTTTGACTTAATCAACCATGAAGTTAATCAACCCTACCTTTACATTATTGGTTGAAACTTTCTCCTCGATGAGCCTCCCACTCTCATCTACCATGAAATAGTAAGGTATTTTTTTTATTAAAATCATAGAACATACTTTCACAACTCTTGTGTTTGGTCATATCATCTCCATCCCAGTACCTGACCTTCTTCATATCTTCAATATTTTGGTAGGGGGAGATATCTTATCCCGTGACACTGAGTTGGAAGCCTATGGCTTTGATGCTTATTGGTAATCCTCCTAATGGACTCCTCATATTCAGGCTACCACTCTTCAACCATATATATGGGTATTGCATTACTTCCTTACACACACATTTTCCCCAAGGTGCTCTTTCAAGATATGATCCTACGAGTAAATCTTTGGATTCCCTCTCATGTTGTAGCCTCCATTCCTCTTGATTTTACTCATATACTCTTTTTGGAGCCATCACACCTTTGGAGACTTCAAATATAATGACCCACTTTTATTTGGACCCATGATAGTTTATCTTCTCATCAACCTGAGATAAATCTATTAGCCTTTTGAACCACCACTTTCGTTCTGTTTCTCACTAAAAACGATGTCTTACAAGAATTGGAGCTTGCGATTGAGGGGGAGAATGGTCCTAAAGTAATATGGATAAGCAGCGACAGTGATTCAGAGTTATAGGACTCTAATTTCAGTGAGTCAGTCTCTCTTGCTAACAGAAGTGACCCATATTCACCTCAGTTTAGTGAGTCGACCTCTCTTGCTAACAAAAGTGACCCAGATTTACCTCAGTTCGCGCCATACGATTATGAGAATCCTTCCAAAAGCACAACCTCGTCAACTGATGGTGCGTCTCCATTAGCCGATCTGTCATAAGCTCTTTAGAACCTTTATAGGCACAAGTCTAAGTGATGACAAGAAAGCTTTTCTCTTGTTCAACCTATATAGTACTATGTGTGAACTATTGGCACCTGAACCTTTATTGTGTTTTACTCTATGATATAATGGTTTGCTTTAGTTTGATCACTATGGTGTGTGAATGACTTGGGAATCGACAATCTCCAATCTAATGGAGATAACAGGTTGAGGGGGAGCCTTGATGCTTCCATCAATGTTAACACACATGCAATTATAAGAAATGTGTGAAATTGCATAAAAGAAAAGCAGGGGGAGATTGTAGGGGAAAAGCTTTCCCTTTCCGTCAAGGTAAAACGAAACAAATTATTGCTTACCATAGATGTGAATATGTGATTACAGGAAAGAATCTCTCAAATCAAAGGAAGATCAAGAGGAGACCATTGCATCAAGAGGAAGTATAAATAGAAGGAAGTAACATGACAAACTCACAAAATGTGGTAGAGCAATACTACACAAAGCAAGATCTAACACTGTGATTAGCAATAGGTGTAAGAAGTGATAAGTGTTCACTATCTGTATTTCTTTAGTGTCTGTGATTTTGTGTAGTTTCTCTCTTTAGTGTGAGTTCTTGTGAGGAAGGGAGAAAGAGCTATATTGCTCTATTCTTGTCAAGGTTTTGAGTTCCACTCAAAAAGGAACTCAACTTGGAGTTAGAACGGAATAAGATAAAACCTAGACACTATGTATCAAAGGGGTAGCCACCTTTGAGCCAAGACGTAAGCAATAGGCTGAACTAGGTTAACAAAAAATCTTGTATACATGTTCTTCTTGCTCTTTACTATCTTGTGATTGATATACGACCTTGCTAGTCAAAGGTGGAAGACGATCAATGAAAAGGCCAAAGCTTATCTCAACAACCTCTTGGGCCTTAACAACGGGTCAAGGCCACTCACAAATACAGACGACTAATTACTAATAACATGTATTTCATTTATCTTATCATTTCTCTTATTTGTGTGAAACACGTGGTGCACACTTCTTGCGCTTCTTGCTCGAGATTTGGGCTGAAATACTCTGTAGATTTCTTTAAATTAACCTGCTGACCACTAACACTTTCATATTATTTCAAAAGGTGTAATGAATTGCCATAATCACTCTGCAATGCTCGAAGATACAAGTAAGAATCATCAACAAAAAAGGTGAGAAACCTAAGAACATCTACTTGCAATACGAACCTTATGAAGCTCACGAGATGCGACCAATTGTTTGAGAATTATCGTGAAGCCTCTCATACAATGCAAAAAAAGCATTAGGGATAACCATTAACCAATCACTCTACTGCAAGTTTGAAGAATATAAAACAAGAATGATCACTCTATGCGATCATAAGCTTTTCTCATGTCAAGCTTTATGGCCTTAATTTCAACCTCGATGTTTGTTCTTAATGAAATGCATTAGCTCATAACCAACCAAGATATGATAATAATCCGGAGATCTGAAAATCCATTATGCTCTGAGGCAATCAAATGAGGTAAGTTTTAGTCACACCTTGTATAGGAATTGGCATAGACTGACTAGACGAAGCTAATTCATCCAATCCATTATTTCCACTTTGATTATGAGAGTTAACTAGTTATGGTTGAAATTACAAAGCAATTTATGAAACTGATAAATGAGGGCAGAACTTAGATCACACTATCCCCTACAACGTGTCAAAAGGATTCCTATGTCAATGAACTCTAAATTATCAACAAAGGAATAAAAGGGTAGAGCCTGAATAAAATCAAAATCCCTACTGTTTTGTTTTTTATAGGAGTATAATCGTCCCGTCTCGCTCCATACCAATTTGTCGGTTTTATTGACTAGACTTCAAGTGATTTTTATTTGAAATTTAGCAATATTTTAGAAACTATACCTTATCGCCTAGTAGGGTCAGAAATACCGGGTATCAGATCCTAAAAATTTGGACATTTTACCGATATGACACATTTTAACCATAATTAAATCTCGGTTTAGGACAAAATACCCTACCATTGATTTTCCGGTGTAAACATCGACACGGTTTCATAATTCACGGAATTTGGGCCCATAGCAAAGTTAAAAAAAATTTGTTTGGATTATCGAAAATTGCTTTCCAGATAGTGGATACTGTTGGAGATAATCCTAGTGACACCAAACCGAGACTAAGTAGTGGAGCACTGATAACACCAAAATTGGTGTTATTTACCCTACATATATAGGTATGTTTTGTGCCAATTCATGTGCTTAAATGGCTGAACATCGTCAAATACATCCCTATTGCGTTCCTATTTGATTTTGATGTGATTTTAGGGTGTATTAGTCAATATGTGCGAATTAGGTACAAAACAAGGTCACAAGTGTAGAGAAGAGGTAGGAATTGAAGATCGTGGCTTAGAAGCCGAAGATCATGGCCGGGATCACAAGCTGCAATGACCAGCTGAAGATCGTAGCCCAGAAGCCATAGATCGCGACCGCGATATTAGAGGCCTAGGGCGCAAACTTCACATGGAAGGAGCCTTGGAGAAGCAGAGAGTCTCCCCAGTCGCATCACGACCAATGTTCATTCTTTCCGCGAGGAAGATGGCGGTCGTGACTCGTGGATGGCGACCACGAATTCAGCCTGCGATATTTCCCTTTCCAAAGGCCTTGACGACTGCGTTTTGAGATTATGGCCCAGAGACAAAAGATTTCGCCCGCGATCTCCTTACCTCAGACCGCGAACTTTCTCGAGTCTAGAATGCATATAAATACAAGACCCCTTTCCCCTTTTTGAAGGGAGCTGATTTTGAGATGAACTTTCTGGTTCTAGAGAGAGAAGAGAGAGAAGCTGAAGGAAGGACAAGAGAAGGAGAAGAAGGATGATATAGGAGCAAGGATGCATCTTCTTCAACCCCATGTCTTCTTCTATTTCTATCATGTATCTTCTTCCCTCCTTTATGGACTAGTCCGCTAAGGTACTAGGGGTTATAAACCCCAAACCCTAGTTTTTGGGTTTACTATGTATGTATGGATATTTTAGGGTTTGAATGAATAAATGTGTTTGTCTAGTTTATTTTAATGCCGCTCTCTCCTAAATGATGACACTTGGGTAATTTGCCCTAATCTTCCCTCTTAGCCTACTTATGCTACCACGCTGGGTACGAAGTTCTAGAGTTAGAAGGGTATATGCCAACTGGCGAGTTTAGGTTAGATGTGTGGATGAGGGCCTATAGTGGTCGAGACGACCAAACCCCTGCTAAAGGTAGTCTTCCTAGATGAAATCCGCGATGAAACCTCGTTGTGGACGATGGATAGTGTCAATTGAAATGAGCCATAAGCTTAATGCCCCAGATGCGATAGCCTAGATCGAGGTGACTGGAACATGGGTTTAGGGGAGGCGTACTCAGAGGCGTGTGGATAACCAAAAAATCCCATGGAAAAGAGCACACTCACCACATTCGATGACCCTAAATATCTAGATATGCATAGTGACCATAAGCTAAGGGCAGAATAGTTCCCCGAATTACCTGCTTTTAGCTTTGATCAACATCTAGATTAACGTTTCCTCATATCCTCCACTCACCTAAAAAACCGATTAACTAATTAGCAACTAGGTGGGAAGTAGGCTAGGGTACCAGGACCCGAGTAGAATACGACCTTGATTGCCACTGTACGACAATGTCGTTTTAGGTTAAACTTGGCCTAAGATGGGATAGTTGTTGATACTTGCTAACCTCTGACAATAACCTGCATAGATTCAAGTGATCAAACCCCCAACTGAGGGTATTGGTAGCAAGTAGTAACTAAGTGGTAGCGGACTAGCTGAGAGTGCTAAGAGTGACACCCACCAGTGACGCCTAACCGAGAAGATTGACGCTTGATGCCCGCTACAACTTTATAAAGGCTTCTAAGTTCTCCAAGAGAGGGGACTCAACTTCTTCACCCTCACTTTATATTTTGGTTCTCTCTCTAATTATTCTTTTAACTCACTATAAGTTACGAACTAACTTGATTGCCAGAGTATATTTCGGGGACATCCCTGTCATTCCTCAGGTTCCCTTCCTCCCGACGAGATTAGATGAGCGGATCGCGAGTCAAGTCCCACGCAACCCATAATTATTGTTTGTGCCAGGAGCTAGATGGCACAAACAGATACCATGGTTGTCATGGCGGCCGATTGAACCTAGTTCAACTGGTTCCAGTCATGTAGCCGGCTTGAACATCACTAATATGACCGATATGATCAATTTAAGACAATTAAGCAAAATCATGTCATTTTAGTGAATTTAATTGAAAAATATATTATTTATTTATAAATAAAAGTTAAGTATTGATAGTATTTGTTGGATTCAAGTATAAATATTGTATTTAAATATGAATATTTGTTATTTTTTTGAAATATCATATTTTATTTAAATATGAATATGATTTATAAGTAAATTGTCTTCAAGTATAATTAATACATGATTAAATTCATTTGATGTTAATTATTTTTTACATTTCTGTATATTTTGTTATACGATCATGAACAGGCTCAAACAAATTGTACAATTGGTCGAATCTTTCCACTTGCTAAACCGACACATTAGTATAAACAACGGTGGATTGCCATATTGGATCATCGCCCGTGAAGCCCGCCGCTAAGCCCAATGCTTTTTAAGAGTCTAAGACTCTTGAACCAGAGACATTCTAACTAAATGGCGTCTCACATTCAGCATTTGCCGGCAGTAAACAAGAATAGCAACCAACGCTAATTGGCTCCGGAAGATGCGTCCATGCCTTGGGATTAGACAGCGAGAGTGATAGCAAGGTCAAGTATGGCGAAGAGGAGGCTGCTACTGCTCTTGAAGCCTTTTGACATCTACCCAGTTGGCCAACACTTCTGTCAGTCCCGCATTACCAATCCCAAGGTGAATGCATTTCCACGAACTACCCAACTTTTACTTCTCCGTTGGTTTTGTGAGGGTGTTAGTTAGTTTAATTATTAAAATGGTAGGGAATCGATGGGTCTTCTTTCTGGGTTTCTTGTCTTGTGTTCAGCTTGAATGTCACGAAGACGTCCTGTTCGATGAAATGCCTCACTCAGGACAAAGTTCCCCTTTTTGCTTTTATGGGGTCTGCGTCTATTTCATTCTGGATCCTATACCTTGAAGCTTGGGCTGTTAACAAAACCAATTGACTTATCAATCAATTTTTGTTACAAACGAGAGTTTCTTCAGCTTAGTCATGCTCTGTTTTAGAGTTGGACGTGGTATATGAGGTATAGAGGTTGAATGATCTCCGATTTCTGTAAGGAGAACTTCTTGGCACCAAAGTTTCTCTATTTATTCTACCCCTGTTCTTTGTTTTTTCCCATTTCTGGAGCTAAAAGCTCTTTTGCATAATTCGAAATAATTCAATTGCCGAGTTAAGCCCTTTGTCGGCTAATGCTTGCCATCTCCATATATGTAATGTGGACATCTATTTCATACATTGCAGATTTTTCAATTCCTAGATAATAGGCGGAAGGTCCACAAAGAAGCTGTGAACTTCTGTCAGAGCATTTTACAGAGGAAGGCAGTTGATTGGGAGCCGGTTTTACGTGCCAACCTGTCTCAACAAATTCATAATTTTGATTTTGTTGTTACTGTTGGTGGTGATGGCACTCTTCTGAAAGCAAGTCATTTCATGGACGATTCAATTCCGGTTCTTGGAGTGAACTCAGACCCAACTAAAGTTGAAGAGGTAGGGCTCTTGATCCAGTCTATGTAGCATCTGGGAGTTTGCTGCATTTTACACTTGATTTCAGTGCCTTCACTTGTAGGTTGAGGAATTTGGTGACGATTTTGATGCTACCAGGAGCACTGGCTACCTGTGTGCGGCAACTATGAATAACTTTGAACAGGTAAAAACTTACCTTGTGTGTTTGTTATAGTATGATTGAAATCGTTCTTCTGCTTGAGGGACATCCTGTCCTTCCTCATTCCTAGCTGACACAAATCTATTCAGGTTCTAGATGATATCCTAGACGGTCGTAAACAGCCTTCCGAATTGTTGAGGATGTCGATACGAGTAAACTCACAGCTGTTATCAACGTTTGCCCTTAACGACATATTGGTAGCACACCCATGCCCTGCAACAGTCTCTCGATTTTCATTTAGGTAAAGGGGCGTTTTTCCTGTTTGCTAGAAAACCAAATACGCTGCTGGGATGTTATCCATCTTGTTTCCTTGTTTTTTGGCAGGATTACAAGGGGTGACAAATCAAGTACGCCACTAGTGCACTGTAGATCAAGTGGCATTAGAGTCTCAACTGCTGCCGGTTCAACAGCTGCAATGCTCTCAGCAGGTGGGTTCGAGATGCCAATCTTATCGCAAGACCTCCAATACATGGTTCGAGAACCCATTTCACCTGCAACTGCTGTTTCTAGCTTGACGATGCATGGGACTATGAAGCCAGACGAGGCCATGGAGATGACTTGGTCCTCAGAGAAGGGTTTTCTATACATTGACGGTTCCAACGTGGTGCATAGTATTCAGTATGGAGACACAATTCAAACGTCTGCTGCAGCCCCTCATTTGAAAGTTTTCTTGCCCGACAGGCTGGAGTCCTCATGAACAATTCAGACTAGAACCACTAATGTAAATAAGAAAGCAAAGGTCTGCAAAATGTTCTTGTTCTGGTTGTACACCTGTAAAGTTACCGAGCCAATTCCCTAACTTCATCAACGGGTTGCTCGGTGCTCCAAAAGCTAGGTTAGAAGCTTCAGCAGCTTTTCTGTTCCCAGAGAATAAGGTATGGCTGTTTGTTTGAGTGGTGTACTACAGAAGTGCTTAGATGTCAACATCAGAATTCGCACAGTTCTGCCTTGGTTGCCATATCTGCTTTCCGGACCCTGGATTTGCAGGAGTTACAAGTTACAACTATCCAACCTGCATCAAGTGCTGTCAAATGGTTTTCGAAATAGTTTGTTGAAAGTTGGTATTAGAATTTAGCCTCCCCTGTATTTGATTTCAGTATTGACAAACTGATTCACTGTCTTTAAACCTTGAAGATCTGTTTGGGTGCTACTCATTCTACTTTGTGCCACCAGCAGTACGACTCCAGGAAGATAAAATATTGGCGAGGTTAGGTGCGCTTTTTTGAACCATGGTTTATGTATACCCAAACATGAGAATTGAGTCCAACTACTGCATTTTGAGAAAACTGACCCCAATTACCACAGCTAAACAGCCCCTTAGTACTGAGAGTGACAGCCAAAAAGAGACCTCCACAGGACTGCATGCATTAATAGTAAAAAACCAGGAATGCAACGTGAAACACAAGAGGCTAATAAGAAATCAGAGAGAGCCATAACCCCATTCATTAATCAATTAACAGTATCCCTTACAGTTGAAACATGCAACATTAACAGTAAGATCATGCAACATATGTGAGGCCCCATCTACAGGGGAAATTAGTCATCAACATCAACTATTTAATATAATTTCCCCCACTGGTATTAGTAGTGTCTTTACACATAAAAACTTGTTCATTCAACTACCAACTATGGTATTGATGCCTACCAAATCTCTTTCCAGCAGTTTAAACTGTTGCAGTGCATGGATTCTTTTGAGCCCCTTTTTGCTCTAGCTCCCTTGTGTGGAAATCTGAGTCCCCAACTCATAAACCCTAATTAAAAATGGCCCCTCTCTGGATCATCAGTAGCAACTTATTGATGGAGTGGATGCATACTGTTTGTCCACAACTTCAATTAGTTTGTTGGCTATGGCACTTGCATACACATAAGACCCTTCACATATCTGCTCAAATTCAAAACAAGAACAAGAATAAGTTCAACTAATTAGGCTCAGTTACCAACATGGAAACACAATAGGAGAAACTCAACTCCAAACCAACAAGAAAAGAAAAGACTAGGCAGACCTTGGTATTGAAGAGAAAACTGTAAAAATCACCCACATGGCCTCTAGCGACATGGTGAAGATCCAAATGAAGCTCATCAAGCACCCTGGAAACAAACATCAAGCAATTGATCTTCTTCTTCCTCTGAACCAACTTAATGGTCACCTCATCTTCAATGATCCTCACATCAATCTCCGTGTCCTTAGACTTCCTCTGAAGTGAAGCCAAGCGCTCCTCAATGTCGACCCATTGTAGGATTTGTCCTGTTCATCAACCGGACGAAGCTTTCATCTCCTCCAACGAGCTCTCCTTCACGTCCTCTTGATCCGTCCTGTGCCTCTTGATCCTCCATCTGCTGCACCTCTTCTTCTCCACCAGCAACTTCAGTTCCTCCACTGTGCTTAATTAAAAGCTCCTTGATGTAGCCAATTGCGTCTCCCAGACTCCCACCACTAAAGCTTTGTCGGTCTTTTTGGCACAACCCCCACAAACACACGATCCATGAATGAAATTGGCCATTAAAATTGTAGGAAGGTCGGGAAAATTGCAATTCAATGTTAACCTGGCTTTACCTTTGGTAGGATTGGGAATCAAATTCCTGAGGGTGTCGAACTTGTCGTTAACTTGCTGGCTCCTCTGGCGCTCTGTTGTCAGTGGCTTGGCCATTCTTCCAGCTGTCCTCCCTTTGGGTAGACAAGCCGCTATGTCCCAATTGAACTCCAAAACGCTCCCGTCTGCTGCGTTAATCCCACCTGCAGAGGAGGCGCCGCCGCCCACGCTGCTTCCTTCTCCATGGAGATCGACTCCGCCGTGGGAGGGGAGGGGAGGTACTGGAAAGGAATAGATCCCTGAAGAGAGGCGGCTGCGGCGGTAGGTTAAGGTAGGAAAGCGGGTCGTAGTGGAGGGAAGAGGCAGAGTGAGATGGGAAGGGAGGAACTGGGGTCGGCGGTGGTGACTGAAGGAGATGGAGGAATTTGTGAGAAGAGGGGAGGCCGAGCATGTGGGTAGGTTGGCAACTGCCTCCGGCGGGTGCTCAAGGTCGCCGTCGTGGTTGGTGACGAAGGGTCAAAACAGCTGTTATTTATGGAATCCATGTGCAATGAAGGCCAAGTTTGGGATCTGCAGAGTGCAGAGGTGAGAAAGGGAGAGAGGGGAAGATGGACTGCAGCACAGAGGGAGAAGAGAAGAGAAGAGGAAGATTGACAATCGGTGGGAGGGGGATTACTAATTCTACTTGCACATATTCAGCACAAACAATCTGAATATGTGATTATTGCCTGGAGCCCTGGATGCGCCTTGAGGGTAAATGACACAAATATTGTTATTTTTTTTTAATTTACCACGAATATTACAAATTAAAAACTATTGACACAAATATTGTGTTTTTTAGTAAGGATTGGGGTGGGACCACCTGAGACTCAGGCGGGACTGATATTTTATCCAGTCCTGGGCGCTGGCGCCCCGGACTCTTTTTTTTTAAAATTTCGGCCGGTCCCCCTTCCCTCCACCTTATCCCCTCCCACACCACACACCACACAGCCTTACCCTTCTTCCTCCCCCCCTGCGAACCAGAGACCCGCCTGCTACCGCCCCTCGCCGCCGCCCCAGACCCCGGCGCCGCCGCCCCAGACATCCGCGCGGCCGCCCCAGACCTCGGCTCCGCCGCCCCAGCCACGAGCGCCGCCGCCCCAGCCACTAGCGCCGCCGTCCCAGACCTCGGCGCCGCCGCCTTTGACTGACCCGCCGCCGCCCGAGATGTCCTCCGACGAAGAACCAGTCGCCGCCGGCAGAGGCAGAGGTAGAGGTCGGCGAGGTCGTGGTGGAGTCGGCAGCCGTTTGCGCGGTGAGACTCTCGTCGGCAGCTTGATTTTTTTTTAATGTTTTGTGTTTTTTTTAATGTTTTGTTGCTTTGTTTTTGCAGTTCCGAGACTTATGGATCCTTATTCGATGAGATTACCGCCGGCGACAATTGATCCAAGTCCGGTCGATCCGACACTTCTTTGGGGACACGGCCAACATCGTATCGACTCTGTTTGGACAAACGAGGTAAGTATTTGATAATTATTCATGTAAAGTTAATTAGCTAATTAGATTATTTTAGGTAGTGAACTGAACTGTTAGGTGAAATTAGTATAATTTCAAATTAGTATAATTTTATGTTAGATAAGACAGATTAGAATTTATTAGGTGAAATTAGAATTATTACGAATGAAAATGAATTAATATAAGTTTTGTGCACTATAGGCTGGTGATCGACCGTACCATGTTCGAGGTACGACCATTTTAGTACCTTACCATGAGCTTTATCGGCCATATCTCGAAGCGGCAGGCTTGTTTAGTGTCGTGCCCCTAGTCCCTATGAACCCCGATGCTAGTTTGATTACTGCGCTCGTAGAGCGGTGGCGCCCCGAGACGTCGACCTTCCATCTACCGTGTGGTGAGATGACGATCACGTTAGAGGACGTTGTTACACTGTCCGGTCTGGCGATCGACGGTGATGCCGTCGTAGTTGATATACCGGATGAGGAGTGGTCGGCGATCTGTTTGAGACTGTTGGGACGAGTTCCGGCCGATCTTGTAGGCAGTGTCGCTGTTGTTAGGATTGTTTGGCTGAGGGTTGAATTCAGTCATCTGCCGGAGAATGCATCACAGGAGGTTATAGAGCAGTTTGCATGAGCTTATGCTCTATCTCTGCTTGGAGGTGTACTTTTCTCGGATCGGTCTGGAAGTACGGTGCACCTACAGTACCTACTTCTGATTGAGGATTGGGAGAGAGCTGGACGGTTTGCCTGGGGAGCTGCTGTTTTATCCTACCTGTACCGTGAGATGGGTAGGTCGACTTTGCACATTACGCATACCGGCACTTCTCTTAGCGGTGACCTTGGTGGATGGGTCGCCCTACTGCAGTTTTGGGCGTGGGAGCGATTCCCACATCTGGCACCTCGAGACGAGGAGACGAGGGCACAGGCCACCGAGGATGCATTCCCACGTGGTCTTCGATGGCTTTCGGCCAACAGTCGTCAGTATGGTGACCAGCTATTCCAGTACAAGCTGTGGTTTGACGCGATGGACACCGTGGTGGTTAGTATATAACATTTCATTTTATATAATAGTTTTCATTTGTTTTATTTTTTTAGATTTAGGGATAATAACGATAATTTTTGGATTTAATGTAGTGGCAACCTTACTTTGAGAGAGCACTTCATCTCAGAGGTAGTGTGCTACAGTCGGAGACATTTCGAGCAGTAGTGCCACTTATCTGCTTTTCATCGGTGATGTGGCATCATCCAGACCGCGTGCTCCGGCAGTTTGGCATGAGACAGCATGAGCCTCATCAGCCACATTCTGAGGCTGAGGTTAGGTTTTTTCTTCGCCAGGCTACTCGTGGGCCATCGCGTGGGCAGCAGTTGGTACACGCCTCCAGAGAGTCGATTGCTTTCTGGAACCGTCGACACGAGTTTGTAGCGACGGCTCCATATACTGATGAGGAGTTAGCCTACCACTCGGAGCATATGGAGTGGTATAGAGATGTCACCAGACGATCCGGCACACGGAGAGGAGCTGCAGCAGAGGCGTTGGTTAGTTATTTGATTTATTTGCTTAATTTGTTGTTATTTGTGTGAAATATCTGACATTTTTTTGGGTGTTTTTTAGTACGACACTATCGAGCATGCTGAGGTGAGTTTGCGTGACGGTGTACGGTCTGGAGGGCTGACCCCCGACCAGTGTGAGGACTTGGCCAACTTTATGGCATCCGGGGTTGCTGCTCTAGGGTTTGAGGATCGTAGATACCCTGATCTCACAGTACCTGTACAGCGCCATTATGAGGGGCCCGTCATGACTGCCTGGCCAGAGCGTACTGATCCGACACCGGGCTGGGTCGTCCCAGAGCCACAGTTCAGACAGGAGCATAGGCCACGTAGACAGAGACGTGAGCATCGTGATGCACCTAACCCATTTCGGGTTTCCGATCGACAGCGAGCACAGCCCATCCGGCCTACATCGAGGAGCTTCCAGTTTAATCCGCCTCGGACGCAGTTTCAGTCAGATCCTTCCTCGAGCTTTCAGCCGCCGCGACGACAGCAGTTTCAGTCAGATCCGTCATCGAGCTTCTATCAGCCAGAGGATAGCTTCCATACACCGCAGCATGCTACGAGGGGAAACATGGCATCAGGTGGTGATACTAGAGCAGCGGCGTCTCCCGACCTGTGGCAAGAGGGTGATGAGGTGTTTAGGGAGACGATGTGGATCCATGAGCAGCACCTTCAGTCTCAGCGTAGTGGTGGCGGTCAGCCTGATGAGCATCTTCAGTCTCAGCAGGATGAGATGTTCGGTACACAGGACCAGGATGGTGGAGTTGAGGAAGATGAGCCACAGGAGTATGATGGTAGACCAGTGCGCATCAGGGTGCCTGCTAGGTGTGGTACTGGCGGCCATCTAGCGGTGGAGCATGGTGGTCGTCGTGGTGGTCGTCGTGGTGGTCGTCGTGGTGATCATCAGTGAGACTATTATTATTATGTACTTCCTTCAGACGTTTATTTTTGGATTGTTATTATTATGTACTTCCTTCAGACTATTATTTTTGGATTGTTATTATTATGTACTTCATTCAGACTATTATTTTTGGATTGTTATTATTATGTACTATAAACAAACAACAACATCTCAAGCAACAACATCTCAAACAAACAACATCTCAAACAACAACATTTCAAACAAACAACATCTCAAACAAACAACTTTTACATGGTAAATCAAAAGATAACAACAACATACCAAACAACAACATCTCAAACAAACAACAACTTTTACATGGTAAATCAAAAGAAATATAACAACTTCTACCACCTCTCAGCCACGTCTATTACCTCTACTTCCTCTTCTACCACCTCTCGTACTTCGTTGGCCACCACTCCCTCCTCGGTTGCTCCCACTCCTACTAGCTTGGCCGCCGCAAGTTGATACATTATGTCCCGCTTGGTTACAGTTGCTGCACACTTGGTGTGATGCACCCTCCCTTGGCCAGTCCATCTCGTTGTGGATCCTTGTAACTCGTGGCCTCCCCGGCTTCCTAATCATGTGCACATTAGGATGGAGAATAGGACCATTATGTTTCTTCCAACCCTTAGGTTCACCAAGAGGTGCGAAACTTGTCCCATAACAAGCCATCACTGTTTCCAGCTTGTAGACATTGTTGACAAACCTATACGCATTAGCCCCCATTCGGTTGCAAGCTGCAATGGCATGAGAGCAAGGAATTTTATTTCCTTGAAATTTACCACAAGTGCAAAATCCTGCCCGGTTTTGATCGTCAAAGTGAACTGTGAGTGTGTTTGACCCTGTCATGTTGAAATTGTTGGGAGGAGTCTGAACTACATAGATGCCTTGACCTCGATCAAGAGCTGTCACAGAATGTCCAATTGCCTTTTGTGACCTGTACTTCATTAGCTCTTCGCACTTGTTGGAGTACTGTGAACCGCCACTTCTAATTTCTGCTCCTGTCTCCAACCTATACATATCGAATTTCTCCACCAATCGCCAATAGGTATGCTGCACAAGAGAAGCTATCGGAAGTGCACGAATACCTTTGAAAACACCATTGACGCTTTCTGCCATGTTGGATGTCAGGATAGACCAACGACCCCCACCATTGTAGTTATCATGTGCTAAACTCCAACGAATCTGATGTTGATCCACCCAGTTATCACATGAAATATTTCTATCAGCGGCCACCTTCTTAAATTGCTCAACTTGACGATCAAACTTCTCCAACCGTTTTTCTCCGGCTAACAAAATAAACCACAACACGTGTTAGATAAATTCATGACAAAATTACATGAAAACAAATAACAAAATTAAATGAAGAAAGCTTACCGACTCGAAATAGTTGATTATACATAATTTTGCTTCGAGTCTTCCTTTGCAAATTGCTTGCATAGTGTCGCATGCACCACCTCCACTCCCAACCTCTTCCGATGTTATTCATGGCTTCATAGAGTCCTGCATGTCTATCTGAGATGATGCATACATCATTTCGATCAGTCAAACCCTGAACCTTCCTCATGAACCATGGCCAACTCTCAGTATTCTCGCTCTCCACTATGGCAAATGCAATTGGAAAAATCTTCCTCCGGCCATCAAATGAGCTCGCCATGAGTAGCACTCCTTTATACTTCCCAGTAAGAAATGTTCCATCCACAACCATGACGCCTGGACAATTCTTGAATCCATCTATACAAGGTCCATAAGCCCAGAATACTCGCTGAAATATTAAATGACCAGGTTGAGTCGAAGGAACTGTTACCCAATCAATCACCGATGTTGGCATTTTTCTCTTGACCACCCGCAAGAATGTTTGCAAAAAATCGTAGGATTCTTCCCAATTTCCATGCAACTTCTCCAATGCTCTTTGTTTCCCATACCAAGCCTTCTTGTAAGTAACTTGCATATTAAACTTATCTTTCAACTCGGCTTGAACAGTTAGAACACTCAGATTTGGTTGGGCACGTACCAAATGTTTGACGGCCTCAGATATCATGTCGACATCAAGATGGCGATGATCCGTCGGTTGAGTCGTACTGCTACAAGAATGCACCAACTCAGCTTTTCTCACAGTCCATTCGCCCCCAACATCTCGACATCCAAACCGCACCATCCAAGGACAATTGTCATCCTTGTGCCTCAAACATCTGACCTTCCATATTGAAGGTGACGACTCCACCACGCCATATAGAAAGTTGCATTGTAGTGCGTGGTGTTTAATCGCCATCTGTGCAGCTTGTTTCGAGTGAAATATCTGCCCCTTGTAGAATTCTCCTTCAAAACTATCAACAATAGGCATTGGAATTACGCCATATGAATCAGCAAGTGCAAATTCTTCGTCATCTTCATTGCCCTGCAAGTAAAAATATGGAGGATAATTAAGTTGCTCTCCTTCCTCCTCCTCCTCCTCCTCCTCCTCCTCTCCGTCATCACCGTGATCATAGTCATGATCGGATGGCACGCTCCATGTATCATCTTCTTCCTCTCCACCCTGATCATCACTGAGCTCAACATGTATCTCAGCACCCAAACAATAAGGATTTTGTGCCATAAAATTCCAAAGCACATCCAAGCTATCATCATCCACAATAGGTAACGCATAATGAAATAAAACATCATTCTGCCATTCTGGAAGACGGTAAGTGAAACCTGTGATCACATCACTATCTTTTACTGCTTCGTCTCTGCGCCGTATTCTCGGAATTAGAGTCTCACAAAGTTTGTGATATGTGACTCTGGATGGAACCGTCAACTGAAAACTACTACCACCAACGAATTTGACACCCAAATTATCCTCTACTTTCTCCGATTTCCACCGAACAACTAGTTCAAATCTTCTAAAATCACTACAAAAAAACAAACTCACTAATTAAAAACTAAACACAATCATAATAGCATTTGAATAATATAATTACAAAAATAAATGTGTCTCTTACCTAGCCATTTTTGCAGCAGCAACCAGAGCTCTCTCCTCTATTTTGGACGATTTTTTTTGTGGTGTGAATCTGAAACGAAATGTCTGTCTGGGTTTTATAGGGTGGGTGGCCAATCCACCTACTCGCCTCAGTCTCGGGCGCCACCACCGGAGTCTTGATTTCCCACCTACTCGCTTCAGTCTCGGGCGCCGCCGCCTGAGACTCGGGCGCCACCGCCCGAGTCTAATAAAGCGGGCCAAAAACCAAGTCTTAAGCGGCGGCGCCTGAGTCTCAGGTGTACCCGCCAATTCTGATGTATAAAACACAATATCTTTGTCAATAGTTATTAATTGGCCATATTCGTGGTAAATTTAAAAAAAAAAACAATATTTATGTCATTGTCCCGCGCCTTGAAGCCCTTGCTTAACAATTTTTCTATTTATATCTTTTAAGATAGAAAAGGAAAAACGGGAAAAAACAGAAAAAGGAAAAACAATTGAATTGAGACAGTGAACAGAAGAGTTCGGACTTGGTGTTTTTACCATTTAGTTTTTACTCTCAACTCTCAAGTATCAACTCACCCCAACACCAAACAGACCAATTCTACAAACCACCCCCACGAATACAATGGTATTTTTACTCCCACTCACCCCATCCAACAATTGATATTTCTCTTCTCCCGTTTTCATCTTCTTCCCGTTTTCGTTTCAAAGGTTTGAACAGAAGACGACAATGACGCGATTTTCGATACACGTCAAAAGATACACTGTTCTACTGGCATGTGCGGCTTGCCAGTCTTCCCTTCTTTGTGGTTACGGTATGTGTTTTCGATTTTAGTAGTACGATTATAATATTTAGACTAGTGATTCGTTGAAAATGTTTATGTTTTGACTTGATTTGACAAAGTAATTCTTCTTCTACTTTTCCCTCCCTCCAGAGATCTCTATGAGCTTGGTATCGAATTTCATCAAACAGGATCTCGATATGAAGGCGGTAGATAAAGCTTGTTTCGTGGACACAATTCAACTCGTCTCCGTCCTGACCATGGTGCCTTCTGGGGCACTGTCTGACTGGATCGGTAGGCGTCCTCTGCTGATCATCGTCGGAATGTCAGCGTTTGTTGGGTACTTTGTGATGACCATTGCGTCATCGGTGTCCATGTTGATTATTGGACGAATGTTGAGCCTTTTGGGAGTCGGACTTGCGCTCCCCACCACCCCGCTTTACATCGCTGAAATTGCGACGCCAAAAGTTCGTGGCTTTCTGAACTGTACACCCGAGGTTTGCTTTTCCTTAATCATCTCGGATTTAGTTTCTACTTGACTTATAAATAAATAGTCGATTGGGTTAATAATAATAAAGGTGTGATGGATTAAATCCTATGTTGATTTCAAATTTGGTTTGTACTTTGCTTATAAATAGTGGGTTTGGTTAATGATAAAGGTATGATGGTTGGTTTAAACCTTAAATTGCTTTTGCATCATTCATTGTTCTTTTCGTTCCTATAGTTGGAAATATATATGGTACAATAATGAATGTCAGTCATTGTTTATATTATATATTACACCCTGAATTTCAAGCGGAATGCTAATTAATAATAATAATAATAATCATATTGTGAAACTACAGGTGCTTTCGATCTTTGGATCATTACTAGCTTTGCTGAACATGGAGATTTATTCCAGCGTTCCTCATCACATTAGCTGGCGTGTGATAATTGGCTTTGGCATGGTTCCATCAGGTATCCTAGCCATCAGAATGTTCTGGCTTCCGGAGTCGCCACAATGGCTCATTCATAGAGGCAGGATCGCTGAAACGTCAATGGCTCTATCCAAGACAGCATCAAATGGATCACTTGCCAGTGCTAGACTCAACGAGCTTAAGTTGGCTGCAAAGATACCAGTTGATTCTACGGCAAACATTGTTGTCATGTCAGAAGAGACGGATCCTCTTGCTCTGTATCAGTTTTTCCGGAATCCTCAACAACCTCGCTTCAAGGTTATTGTATCGGTGCTATATCTGAGTATCATGCAACAAATTTGCGGAGTCGATGTCATCATAAGCAATTTCGTCAAAGGAGTCATACCAATGAAGAATCAGATTTGGTCTCGAGTATTAGTCGCTTTGGTCAAACTGCTCATCACCTTAGTTCCGATGCTTGGAGTGGACAAGATCGGACGGAAGCCTCTCTTGCTCGTAAGCTTCGTGCTTATTACTATTGCCTCGGCTGTTTTGGGGTTTTCTCATTTGGAAGATGGAGGCACCAGGTTCTTTCTCTTTGTCTTGATTGCTGGATACGCTTTGGGACTAGGTCCTATAACCGCAGTCTATAGTACGGAAGTTCTGCCATTCAAAACCAGAGCTCAAGTCCTTGGGTTAGGAATGTAAGAGCACTGTTGAAGATCACAGCTGCTACACTGTTGAAGATCACAGCTGCAAATCCCTACAATCAATACATAATCTTCCAAAGATCATAATCTTCCAAAGATCAACTCAACACCATTATTGGAGACACACACCAGCCACATTTATTACTCATGTCTTGTACTGTACATTATCACGTTTGTAAGCTGTATAAATGAAGACTCATTGTAATGAAATGAATCAAGAAGCAGAGAAACAATCTTGCATTCTTCAAACACTTCCACCATAGTTTTTTCATGGTATCAGAGCAGAGATCCTCACGACTCTGACTCAAAACAACAAACACAAAAAAAAAAAAATCAGTATAGCAATCGAAACTTACCTTGCAGGAAGTCATGACCGACGAAACTCAAGGATCAAAATCGGTTGCCACCATACCCAGCTCCAGCGGTGGAATGGACGTGATGTCTCCTTATCATCTACCGCAGTCAGACAGTCCAGGCCAAGTTTATGTTCAGGACCTCCTCACTGACGCCAATTACAGTGAGTGGGCGACTGACATGGCGGAAGGATTGTTTGCCAAAAATAAATACAGCTTTGTTGATGGAACTCTGCCGCGACCTGAAGAAGGGTCTACCAATCTGCAGAGTTGGCTTCGCTGTGATGCCATGGTTAAGGGATGGCTTAAGAGCGCCATGACCAAAGAAGTGCGTAGCAGTGTTCGTTATGCAGCCACCGCAAGAGAGATCTGGAGTGACTTGAAAGAAAGATTTGGAAAAGGAAGCTCACCTCGAGCGTATGAGCTGCGAAGAACAATCAGCCTCTTGCGACAAGGATCCATGGGAGTTTCTGCCTATTTCACAAAGCTTCGGACCCTATGGGATGAGCTTCAGTCGATCTCTCCTCCACCCCGGTGCAGTTGCGGAAATTGCGTATGCGATATACAAAAGCAATTACGAACTTCACGAGAGAAGGAACAAATCTACGATTTCCTTATGGGGTTGAACGACGAATTTGGTGCGGTGAAAACGCACATCTTGAGCCTCCAACCAACACCCAGCCTGGTCACCACCTTCTATCTTGTCCTTGAGGATGAACAAACCCGAGGAATCTCCACCACCGCCGCACAAAACACAACGGCAGAAGGGGCAGCTTTCCAGGCGAAGCAATCCCTAGAGACGAGAGGAGAACGAGAGCAACGGGGGCGAGAGAGACCCAGATGTACCTTCTGTCAGCGAAATGGCCACACAAAGGAGCAGTGCTTCGAGATCCTTGGCTGGCCGGAAGGGTGGAAGAAGCGCGACGGTGGGTCTCTCGGCGGCGGTCGACGGGAAAGGAACGTGAATGGAAATGGAGACAAAAGGAGGCCTCCTCCTCGTGCGGCACAAGTGAGTGACGAGGCCAACAAGGGGGCTCAAGCCATACCAACGGGCTTAGGGTTGACACCAGCCCAACTTTCTAAATTAATGGAATTTTTGGGCCAAGGTGAGACTTCAGGGAGCCCAACAGTTCACCAGGCTAATTTCACTGGTAAGCCAAGTAACGAATGGGTCTTGGACTCTGCCAGCACAGATCATATTACTTTCAGTCCAGACGTGTTGGAGTCAAAACAAGCGCACCATAAAACAGCCTGCGTCAGCATCCCTAATGGAGCGAAAATCCCTATCAAAAATACCGGGACACTAAAATTGACCGATGAAATCAAGCTTGATGGAGTGTTTGAAATTCCTGAATTTCAATGCAACTTAATATCCGTCAGCCGCCTTACCAAAGATCAAAATTGTGCAGTGACATTTTTCTCTGATTTTTGTGTGATACAGGAATTACCAACGAGGAGGCTGATTGGGACGGGTAGGCTCCAAGATGGATTATATGTCTGGGATGATGTGTCAAAAAAAGAAGTTGGCAATGACTGTGCAACATGAAAGCACATCAGATATATGGCATCAACGGTTGGGACACACATCTCCAGTCAAACATCAGCAACTGAAGACATCAACAAAATTGGTTTCATTTCACAAGTCCGGTCATTGTGATGCATGTGTTAGAGCTAAGCAAACTCGTTTGCCCTTCCCCACCAGCACTATTCGCACACGTGGTTGTTTTGAATTAATACATTGTGATATTTGGGGTGACTATAAGACGCCCTCCCTATCAGGAGCACATTACTTTCTGACTATTGTTGATGATTATAGTCGAGGACTATGGATCTATCTGATGAAGCATAAGTCGGAGGTTGGCATCTTGCTCCCTCGTTTTTGTAACATGGTTGCAACGCAGTTTGGCACATCAGTCAAACGTATTCGAGCAGACAATGGATCAGAATTTCGCTCTCGATCAATGCAGGATTATTATTCATCGAAGGGAATATTGTTGGAGACTTCTTGTACGGACACACCACAACAAAACGGGGTTGTTGAGAGAAAACACAGACACATCCTCGAAACTGCACGAGCCCTTCGGTTTCATGCCAACCTCCCCATCCAATTTTGGGGAGAATGTGTTCTCACATCAGCTTATATCATCAATCGGTTGCCATCAAAGGCAATCAACAATCGTACCCCGTATGAAGTCTTACTTGGGAAGCCACCAAATTACTCTCACCTGCGCGTGTTTGGTTGTCTAGTGTACACTCACGACAATAAAAGGGTCAAGGACAAATTCGAGGAAAGGGGGAGAGCTGGTATTTTTGTTGGCTACCCACAAGGGCAAAAGGGTTACAAGGTTTTCGACATGGCGACTCAGAGGGTCATAGTCTCTCGAGATATCAAGTTCTTGGAGAGCTCATTTCCACATAAAGATCCCAATAAACTCTCAAACTTCGAATCTCAAGTCTCAAGCTCGGTTCCAACCTCACATCCACCTCTTGTTACCTTTGATGAAGATATTGACCCTAGCATGTTTCCATTTGTGCCCGCCAATGAAGACCAAGAAACCCCATTGACTGTAGAGGAGACCATAGACCCAAGCGTTCGACCAACGGCTCCCACTACTCAGCTTCGACGTAGCATTCGAGAACGAAGACCTTCCTCAACTCTCAAAGGATTTGACACATCACTCCCAGCATCTCTCACCATCACGGAACCTGCCCCACCATCAGCTTCCCCTCAGGTATATCCATTAGCAAACCATGTGTCATATGATCGGTTTTCAGTGTCTCACAAAGCTTTTTTGTCTGCCATAACCCTTACAAAAGAGCCTAAGAGTTATCGTGAAGCCGCGATTGATCCTCGATGGCAAAAGGCAATGAAACAGGAGATTGAAGCATTAGAGGCCAATCAAACGTGGGAATTGACGACCTTACCACCGGGGAAGAAGGCCATTGATTCCAAATGGGTCTACAAGGTCAAATTCAAACCCTCTGGAGACATCGAACGCTTCAAGGCAAGGTTGGTTGCCAAAGGTTTCACCCAAATTCCAGGGGTAGATTATCATGATACATTTGCTCCTGTTGCCAAAATGGTCACTGTTCGTAGTTTGGTTGCTGTTGCTGCTTTACGGAATTGGCCACTGCACCAACTCGATGTCAATAACGCTTTCCTTCATGGTGATTTGGATGAGGAGGTGTACATGAAGATGCCTGAAGGGTTTGGTCAACCAAATGACACGAGAGTCTGCCGATTGAAGAGATCCTTATATGGTTTGAAACAAGCATCCCGCAATTGGCATGCCAAATTCACGTCATCTCTCCTCCAACTGGGATTCAAGCAATCCAAGTTTGACTACTCCCTTTTTATCGCACACAAAGGTTCCACTTTTGTCGCTGCTCTCATTTATGTTGATGATGTTGTCTTGACCGGAAATAATGAACAATTCATCAGCCTGGTGAAGCAACGACTCGATAATGACTTCAGCATCAAGGATTTAGGACCTCTCAAATTCTTTCTTGGAATCGAAGTCGCACGCTCGCCAAATGGAATTGTCCTTAGTCAACGCAAATATGCCATCGATATTTTGGAGGATAGTGGTATTGCCAATGGCCGGCCGAGTGCTTTCCCCATGGAGCAGCACCACCAACTAGGCATGGCCAACACACCTAGTTCAGCCGATCCTGGTCAATATCGTCGGCTGATTGGTCGTTTGCTCTATCTGACGGTTACTCGCCCAGATCTCCAGTATTCCGTCAACTTTCTTTGTCAATTTGTTGCAGACCCTAAACAAGAACATATCACGGCCGCAGCTCGGGTCCTGCGCTACCTCAAGCAATCTCCTGGCCAAGGGCTCTTCTTTCCTAGTCATGGGTCGTTGCAGTTAGAAGGATTTTGTGATGCAGACTGGGGCGGGTGTGCTCTAACTCGCCGCTCCACCACTGGTTATTTCATTCGCCTTGGTGCCGCTCCCATCTCTTGGCGCACCAAGAAGCAAAGTGTGGTTGCTCGATCTTCCGCTGAGGCCGAGTATCGTTCAATGGCTACTGCAGTTAGTGAGCTAATATGGCTACGTGGTCTTCTGGTTGAGCTTGGAGTCCCCCAAACTCAATCAACGCCACTCCATTGTGACAATCAAGCCGCCCTGCACATAGCGGCCAATCCTGTCTTCCACGAGCGAACTAAACACGTCGAGATGGATTGTCATTTTGTTCGCGAACGCGTACAATCTGGCGAAATTCTTCCTATTAAAATCAACACTCGAGACCAACTTGCCGACCTCTTCACAAAAGCGCTCGGTGCTGAGCGGTTTCACTATCTTCTTCGCAAACTGGGCATTTGTGACCTTCATGCGTCAGTTTGAGGGGGAGTGTAAGAGCACTGTTGAAGATCACAGCTGCTACACTGTTGAAGATCACAGCTGCAAATCCCTACAATCAATACATAATCTTCCAAAGATCATAATCTTCCAAAGATCAACTCAACACCATTATTGGAGACACACACCAGCCACATTTATTACTCATGTCTTGTACTGTACATTATCACGTTTGTAAGCTGTATAAATGAAGACTCATTGTAATGAAATGAATCAAGAAGCAGAGAAACAATCTTGCATTCTTCAAACACTTCCACCATAGTTTTTTCAAGGAATGG